CCCTCTACCTGCTTATGGGCTACCCCGTTTTTCAGGCAATGACAATAGAAAAATCCGTACTCTCTAACACTACAGATGCGAATACAACTGCCTGTTTGTTACGCCTTACGCGTAAATCACTAAAACAATTTTAATATTTATTGCATTTTAGCGGGGATAAAATGGTGGAATGGGTTGATTTTTAACTAATAGACCGTGGTTTGTTCTAATTGACGTCATTATAACAAACATAATATGTTATTATAGGTATTCCGATTTCCGAGTCGGATTAACAGCAGTTACGACAATCACATCGTTTATTAAATTAAATGCCTACTTACCTACTCCCTCGCTCATTCCAACCATTCTAGTGTTCACGACCCGAGATAAACTCTCTTTTTTTATTAACCACAGAAAAAATAATACCTTAACTAGGAAACGCCTAATCTTGAGCATCGTGATTTGTTTAATTTCGAACAAACATTGTTTTTATTGCTTGACACACCTGGCCTGTGCCTAGAGTTATGTCGTTTGGTGGATCCTAATCATTGGTGAAATGCATTTTGGTGAAATGCAAGGTAGAGATGGCAGTGGGAAAAAACCCGGACTTTTTCCCATGGGTTATTTTCCAAATGCCGGTATTTTATTTTTTACTAAGAATATCCACATCAGCAGTTTTTTTTAATGAATTGACTAATATTAAAGTATCCTGTTTCATTCAACTCCTGTTTCATCTGAGCATTATCTGCTTTATGGGTATTTTCACTTACTTGACATTGTATGCCAAACGTTTCCGAAATATTGTGATGTTACACAGTCCTACCTACAACTTTTTAACCGGGGCAGACACCTGATTATATCCTCTCGTTCCGTGAGATCTTTTCCTTTTATTTCATTTAGCCACTTTGAAAACATGTCCGTCTTTTGGCCTAAAGTGTATGAATTTTGAAGACATCATTGTGAAGCTCGTTCTTTTTTAACCGTATTATATTTTGATTGTTTTGGTGCCCCTTTGACACTGGTGCAAAGTAATCTTTATTCAAATGGACTTCTTAAAAGTACTTTTGAATCGGCCAACATATTTTTCCCTGCCATTCGTTCACGACGTGTTTCGCTAATAAGAAGAACGAGCAAGAAACTCACCGTCCCTAGCAGGAGTAATGACATTCACAAAACCATGTCATTATAATAGAGAAAAGAGACTATGATCTTATAATGATAACAATGATTTAATAATGGCAACAAGATAATTTTGAGATATCCAGTTGCTGGACCATGTTAATTCCAAGCATTTTTTTTTATTATAATTGTTGTATTTTGCTTGGGACCTTATTGTAGAAGCGCACACAAAGACCCCTGAATTAATAATTTCAGTCTAGTGACAGGCAACCTTAATTTATTTATCTTTAATTGGCTCAGGGCCAATGCTCCTATATAATATTTATCATCTTTTCTAAACTTTGTTAATGTTATTTGTTAATGTATATTTCAATAATGTCGGTATTACGGAAAGATCCCACCCCTGGATTGGTAATACCTAACATTACTTCCGCCTCGTCCCTTTTCTCCGATTTTGCTTATGTAAACAGATACAATACCGGTCCTCAAATCTCAAATTCGTTGGAAAATACAGGTGTTATGAAATATTCCATTTCAATTTGTATAGTCTTATGAAGTGTAAATTATATATAATTTTCTATTTAAATTTACCTATGTATGAAAAAATCAAATGTATGGTTTAATCAAAAAATGGTTTAACCAAAACTGACTTCAACTTAAATGGTTAGAACAATATTGACTTTGCAGAAATTTTAAAACGAATCAATAATCTTGTTAGTTATTTATAATTTATAATATTTCCTAAGACACCTTCCCCCTTTTCCTAATAACGTAGATTTATGTTATTTGTGACGATTGCATCAACGCCGCATTCATTGTAGGCTCAAAAGTTCGCGTTAAGGACACGTGCACATTTAGAATAAATTAAAATAGTATAGTGAATCAGCAGATTGGCCGGTGTTCGCCACTTCTCGCGCACAGACCATCGCCGTATGTTACATTCTCTTGAGTCTTTTTGCAAATGTGCACGCTTTGCACATAAACTTCTAGAAGAGTATTATTACAATAAAGTGCGTCTCCGCTACTTATTATATCTATACCACGCCTTACCTAAGTATTAACAGTTTTTTGTGAATGAATAATATTACTCATTGAATGTGGGCGATGTGTAAAACACAAAGATAAGTTAATAATAAAACTTCGTATGGAACATGTTGAAATATTTTTCCTTAAACGCTTTATTTACTGCTTACAATTAGATTAGAGCGATTTGCAAATACTTATGTCTTACTAGCTATTAATTAATGATTAATTATGTACCTGATTCAGAGCGCAATAAATAGAAGTCATGGATAAATAGTTAACTTTGCTTATTTCAGATAGAATTAATTTGTTTTTGAAGAATATGAAATAGTGTTATGTTTCTAAGAAGTATTTTTAAGTCACAAAGCAATGCTGTTAGTGAGAGAACACATAGGAACAACAGTGTTTCGATATGTAATCAAATTTCATGATGTAAAGAGACTTAAAATGAAATAAAAGTAAAGCTAGACAAAGAAAGATAGAAAGCCTTTGTTCTTTCTTACCCAAAACGTAAATGAACAGCCAGCAATACACCCATTTTGAATATGTATTCTTTTGTGATAGGATTGTTGAAGCCTATTAATAAAAAACTTCAAGTCGTGGCATATTAGTTTTATGAAAATAAAATATATTCAAGAAGTACCTACATATGCAAAGGTCGATTTATCTGTTGGTGTGAGTAAATAAATATAATATAGTATTTTAATATTTGTGATAGTACTTAATGCGCATTTAAAATAAAAGCTGTGACGATGAATCGCCAGTTCGCCTGATCGGATTAGGACATCACGCTATAATTGAATAACGATAAAGGAAAGATAACAACATCCGATACAAACAACAATTTGAAATGAGAATGGATGGCACATTATGAAATTCAGACCAGTAGGACTAATGATTTCGTAATGAAAGACTTAGTTATTTTATGTATAGGTATTTTCCCGCGACTTCGCACACGTAAATTATAGACTATCAAATGCGTTTGATGTAACTTCCCAAATGGAGGCAAAAGAATTTTTAAAATATGACCAATAGTTTCGGAGGCTATTCAAAGCACACTAACAAACAAGTCTTTCTTCTTTATAATATTTATTACTAGATGTTTTCCTACTACTACGCCCACAGAACATAGAGAACTACGCCTATGTAAATTATTGCTTATGACCCGTGTGATGTTTTTTTTTTTTAAACCGGGTCCAAATGTATCCCCTCGACTTCACCTGCTTAAATAACTTCGCTTGAGTATGGCGTATGTCCTCCGTGTATTATGTAGCTTGATAGAATTTTTAAAATCAATCCAATAGTTTCCGAGCTTATACAATGCAAACAAACAAGCAATCAAATGTTTCCTCTATAATATGAGTATAGATATGTATTGAAAAAAAATATGTCAAGAATATAAACTAAGACTTTTCTAATACTTTCACTATGTTGTCATCTATATATCAAAGGTGACACAGTGATCTATCGCACAGCCCAAACCACAGGACGGATGGGCTGAAATTTGGCATGCAGATAGATGTATGACGTAGGCATCCACTAAGAAAGGATCTTGATCAGTTCTATCCCCAAGGGGATGAAAGTTTGTATGAAACTGTCAATTGAATAATGAATGAATATTCGTAAGAAATGCTGCTCTAAGTAACTTTACCACGCGGACGAAGTCGCGGACAAAAGCTAGTATTTTACATAGGTATTTAATATTTTTTGTGTTACTGAGTATAAAAAAAAATAGAACATACTCTAAACTTTGAAAAAGTTAGTTTCTATTTCTTTGAAGAAAAAAATATGATAACTTTGTTCCTAGTTTTCGACATAGAGTGCCTTTACCATATTCTGTAACTAGTTAGCGTGTAATAAGTAAATGCCACTTTACAAATACTTAAATGTTTATCCGCATTACGATAAAATAATCACGATAAGCCAGTCCTTATTCTGAAATTAAATTTTACCGAGGATTCCATATAATTGTTATTATCACAACGAGTTGTGTCGCTTGGGTTATTTATATTTTTTCCACCTCACGTAGTTCATTTCGCTAATTACTTGTAGCTTTAGGTGTGTGGTAATGTTCATTTCTTTAGTGATATATAGAGAAGTGATTTTTTTAATAAAAACTTAAAAATACCTTTATTTTTGTAAATTTAGAGCTACCTTTCAATCTTCGTAGTCCCTTATTGGTATCGTATCGGAGTATCTTTTTTCAAATCGCACGTTGAGAATGACAATGTCACTAACCAAAAACGACATATTTTTTACTTTTAACAACATTTTTCTTTGTTAAGTATAAACTTTAAAATGCAAAGAACCCTGTGAACGTAGCTTGCGTAGAAACTGCTAGGTGGCGTAGTGATGTTACGTTGTTTAGAGGGGCTGCTTACAATTTCTTGAACTTTAAACGCTTATTACTCAAAATCGCATTTTTTGCATTATGTCACTATCGTTCTCAACGTGCGAAATATCGCCATCGTACCGGTCTTAGTACCGACTTAAGTTGGCATCGATATATCCCTAGTCAGTTTAATATGAAGGAAGCTATGACTAATCGGAACGCTCACAGTCGCTGGTTAATGATCAGTTTGGTTTTAATCAACATCATATTTCTAAAGGTTCATCAAAACCAAACGTACACGTAAATTGTCTTGATAGAAAAAAAATGAAATTAATACAGCTGAACAACTTAATACCTTAACAGCAAATAGACTGTTACTTTAGTTACTTAGTTTCGCATTTTTAATATTATTTCAAAACCTACGCCCAAAAGTTCTGAATCAATTAGGAAAGTAATAAGTCATAAATAATATCAAATGAAATCGTAACAAAATTATTGTTTTAGGTTTTTTCCTGTGATCTGTGGCGTGCTCAGCCTCAGAGTGCTGATGATATACGGCCAACCCAGTGCCTGCAACGATGATGTGGAGTGTTCGAGTGGATTTTACTGCGAGAAAGTCGTCCACGCGTGCCACGAGTGTCTCCGTTGCGAGGAACTCAAACGCGAGTCTCCTGTGCCACAAGAGATCTGCGTCAAATCCGTCGTCGAGTGCGGCGCTTGTATTAAAGGGTATTGTAAAATTATCATTTTTTTAAGAATTTTTCAAGACTCACTCTCCCCTACCACTTGATACTTCCCTATTTCATCACCAGCCTTTTATGTCTTCCCTGGTGGGGTACAGACCTAATGGATGGAATCAAATAGGGAAAATGTGCCAAGCATGATCTACCACGCTGGTCTAGTGCTGATTAGTGGCTATTGACCACTGCAAATGCAGTCCCGACCAACGACTTCACGTGCCTTCCGAAGCTTGGAGGTGCTCGAGATATTATTAAACTTTTGTCACCTATCCTTAGACCGAACCTTGCGAAAGTAACTTATTTTCCGCATTCAATGGAGTCTGCTACAATGGAGAGAGAAAACTTATAGTTATTATATTTCAACATTTTAGTCTAATTTTAATAATTATGTCTTTCATAAAACATATTGTTGAGGACCGCAAATCAAATTTATTTTTGTGTAAAAAATTAACTGATACTTTTATATAAAATGTGATAATTCTTAGACTGCGCTATATTCTAATCTGTATCTACGAGTAAATTGAAATTAGCATATTTTTGTTTCTTCTAGTAGATAATTGATTAAGTGATTATGTAAATCACCATTGAGGTACCTATCAGTTCATGTTACTTTACGGCTTTTCTCTATTAACGTATACAACATTATTGTAGATCTTGAAGTATTGCTCGAACTTTATTCACAATTAATAATAATGATTTATTAATGAACATACTAAAGTGCCAATATAAAAAATCCTCTAACAATAGCTGGTGATATGGTAATTGAAAAACACATTGTAATATTTAAAAAAAAGTGGTCTTTTCGAATATAATAATAAAATTAGTACTGATATTCTCAAAACCATACCAATATTTTTTTTACGATTAAGTTTTGGTTCTTCTCGAAAGATGGCGCTGTATATTCCTGCATCGCGATATGGTTTCATTTTAAAACTTGTATGTAAAAAAGATTCTTACTCTGACTTTTTGTGCCTCAATCTAATGAGTAAGGAAATTATTGGGCCTTGGTAACTCTTGGCTATGTCCGTAAAGGGCGACCGAATTTTTGCAGGGTACAGGTCGTCCCCTTGAGCTACGCGCCTACTTTGCACGTGGTTCGGGTGAAGCGATCTGCCTCGTTTTACTAAACAAACTGTTTTATTTTCTAAATGAGTCCTGTATTGATTGATCCTAATAATGTTATAAAGGCGAAAATTTGTATTGTATGTAGGTTTGGATGTTTTTACCTCCTCAAGCAATTTTTTTTTAAATTGTATGTTATACCATGTAAATTTATGAAGACTGTAGCAATGATATTATTGTTTTACTAATAAAAATAATGAAAGTAACGATGGTTAAGAGAGCGTTTAGTAACAAGAAATACCTTTAAAAGGCGATTTTTGCAGTCTTACATATCCAAGAAAATTATCACTAGTGTAGGGCTTATGTAGTGCTGTGGAAGGATGAAAAATATTAGCTACACGGAACTATAATCGATTCTTAATTTTTGTATAGTTCAGCTCCTCAACAAAGCTTGAATTTGTCATAATAAGTTTTATTTTACGATTTTGAAGCCTGTTTATTTACGAAAAAGAACATATTTTAGAGTTCCTATGTGACGACCACTTTACTTTATAATAACATTACTTGTAGGAAGGACTCTTTACAGGAATTATGTATATTTTTTAAACACTTTAAAAGTTTTTCGTTTGGAATCCGTCTATCTCTTAAATTCTAATTGAATTTAATTTTGGTACAATTTAACGAAAACAGCATCTAAAATTAATATTTTTTTTTAGATACGTAGAGGGTTTGCGCCTGGACCGTGCGTGTATTCTACTGAGTGAGAGGTCCGATGGTGGCGGCAGTGTCCCTCCTTACGGGTGGCTCTTCATCGCACTGCCTCTTTTGGGATTTATGGCTATTGTCATCTACGTCGTATGGAAGAGGAAGACTTTGTTCTCGTATTTAGAAGATGTCTTCAAAATACGTGCTTGTAAGTAACAAATTTTTGTATATATTTTATTTTCCGTGGTACTGAGGTCTAAAATTATTAAAAAAACACGTCAATTTTTATTTTTACTAAAAAAAGCCGTCTGGATTTAGATAAAACCAGTAACAAGATTGTTGCTGTTTATTTTATAGCCACACTCGCATCGGTGCACAGCCGGGGTACGAACAACGGCACTGTATCAGCTCCAAATGCGCACGACCCACCGCCGCCGTACAACCCTTACTACGAGCCTGTACGACCTGTCTCACCGAGCGATACTAACGAAATCATCGTATCCGAAGGTAACTTAAGTTCTCCCCTTTTTTATTAGTCTGCCAACACGCTAATGTGTGTGTGTGAATGAATGTAATACTCTTTATTCTAAACACACCATAAGTAAATAAACAAAACAGGATAATATAACAGACAGTACATTTTGCAGCCTTATTGCTAAAAAGTAAACAATGTGTGTTTTGTGATTCAACTACATATGTCGTTAAATTAGCCGCCTTAGTGACAACTTTGTCTAGTTGAAAAAGACAAATTCGCCACTCACTGCTAAAATCTAAGTATTCATATAAGTCTTTGATTACAACAATTATAATTTACCCTAGTACAACCCTAGATATACTTAAGATACTAATGGAATATTTTAGATGTTGTTGTAGATGTCGTCAATGTTACGAATAGGTCGAAATGTAGGTGTTTGTTTTGTCGTAGATTCGGCAATTCCGTTCATAAAGCGTACACCAGCAGCCCCTACGCAGAGGGGCCGGGACTCGGCGGGCAGTCAAGCAGCGCGACCGTTCAACAATCCGGCCTATGTTCGCGGACCATCCGCTGGGTGAGCTGATGATGTCTCTCTACGCTATACGTCAAAAGGGACCAGTTACACCAGCCTTCCTAAAAGTGGGCGATGACGTCCCCTTGTGGGCGTTGAAGGCCTAAATGGGGGCGTTAGGAGACCCCGAAAATAAACGGACACTTGTGTACGCGTAATACCACCTACGCTCAGGTCTCAAGTTAACTTTTGCGGGTTATAAAAGTCTCGTTTAGAATGAATTTTTAATCTCCGCTAATATAACTCACAATAATGAGGAGTTATTAAAAATAAAATAGTTTCCGAAATCTAAAATTAAATTTCGCTACGGTACTTTCTTGATTTCTCCATGAAAACCGTTCCGGTTTTTTTCATGTATAAAAGTAAATTAATTTTGAAAGCTTAATAAATTACTCATATTCTATTTGTACTTTTTCGTATTTGTATTGATATCTAGGTTTCGAACTTTATAAATTTCGGTTTTTTAGTATGTTAGTTAAAAGGAACGGGTATGACTATCTTTGGTCCATTTGTTTCCTGCAAAAATCAACTTTTGCTAGTGTCGCCATCTAGTGAGGCGCTTCTTTAGTGCTTTCTTGTTTCTTCCATAATATTTCCTCGTTAATTTAATTTGAAATTATGGTGGTTTTAAGAGGGTGAAAAATAGCGGCGCTAATTTATTCTGAAAGTGGGTAGTAGACGAAATAAGTTTGGGAACACCTGAATTACACGAAGCCAGCATAGCCAATCCAGTTATAATTAGGCTGGCTCGATTTACTGGCTTGATGATTTGTCTCCATTTACAAGAGGCCAATCTGAACTGTCTCGGCTACTTGCCTCGTGTAAATGGTACATTGCCTCTCAAATAAATGGTTTGGGCTACTTCGCTTTTACAGAAATCAAAGAATCAGTCAAGTATTATTAATAGGTTTCTACACGACAACTCTAGATTAACATTTTTTTATTTGTCTTAGCCCGTAGGTTTGTTAGAAAATGTAATGTTCATATAGAGTTCATAGTAATATGTATGTACTCATTAAAATTTTCAGGTGTCTTACCTATTAGGCCAGTAATGAAAAACAACGTAGAAAAAATGCATTTAGATACAGCCCTGACACAGTTTCTTTTTTTATTTGTTATTATAATAATAAATAATATAATCTTACAGTATATGGACGCTGTATCGTATATCTACGTATATATGTTTTGTGAAAGGTTTCTACCTATTATGGTCTTTAACAAGGCTTTAACAAGGACATAAAGAAAATACCTTTATACCCTCATAGGAACAGACAGGCTTTTCGAATTATTATTATTATTAGTAATTTTCAACATAGTAATACATATTTTAGATACCAAACTCCGATGAGAAATTAGAATGGCCACATCTCTTGGTTTCTGTGTAGTAAATTGTACTTTGTGAAATTATCGCTTGATCTTTGAGTTTGAATTGATGAAAGAATTGTTCTTCCATAGGATTGGTCAGGCGGAGGATTCTGACCCTGGTTCCCCATTCCCGCCTCACGATGAAGACACTATGGAAAGTCACTGGACTCCCAACCAATCTATTAACAACAATATCAGGTGAGGATCTATTTAGATCAGTGCTTATTAAACTTTGCTCCGCGGACCACTGGTGGTGACTGAATGCATAAAGACTTAGAATAATAACAATTAAGTTTTTTACAGCCTAAAAGTTCATATAATAGCATATGATAGCAGACAAATAAATTATTTTGCCTAGTTTTTTTATTCTGTGTTATTTATTTAATTAATATATTGTTTATTATTTCATGCTTGAGATCTTGGAATATAAAAGGTAATAAATTACTATTTTATTTGTACAATTTATCTACCTACTTACCCCACAAGGGTGTGAAGATATAGATATATTTTTATGATCGGTTCAATGTGTATGCTCTTGGCTAATTGTAGTAAGCAAGCCTTAATAAAACTGAGACGTATTTTTTGACACTTTCAAGCAAGCTCGTAGTTTGAGAAACGTCTTAAATTAGCACCTAGCTCTGAATCTGTATCTGCAACTTCAGTAAGGATCGGTCATTAGATCTGTGACAAAAGCCTATTATCTAGAGCTACTCCATGCTTCGGTAGAACTTGTATAAACCGTTGTCGTCGGTTCCGGATGTATCTGCAAGTCTAACTCGAAAATCGTCGTTCGGTAGTTCGTTAGTTCATAACAGTTATTCTGTTATGATGTAACATTAAAAATATAAATATATTTTATGAAGATTAATTCACAGGCTTATACTATTTTGAACATCCAAAAATTTTAAGTACCTGATTGAGTTCAATAATCTTGTCACAGCAAGGGCAGTATAAAAACGAGCGAACTGTCTTTAAAAAATTCAATATGAGGCAAATCGTCTGCTCTTATTAAAACTCGTGCTACAAAGAGCTGGGAACGCAACACGAACTAAAAGAGCGAATTAATTCATTTAGGAACGGCGATCTAAACTGATCGATACCTTCCGGCGTTAAGGAAGTGGATGTTCTCGGTGCTTTCAAGTCTAGACTACGCGAACATATTTTAAATTACCAAACTTAATTCGCAAAACGGGTTTAGATAGTAAACGAAAATAAATACATATTTTTTTGGTAGTGTTTAATATACTGTTACCGATAATCACACTTGTGCTTGTGATATTGCTTAAACTAATTAATAAAAAAAAAAACAAATATTAAATACTCGTTGTCACGTGACCGCAAACAGCGCGTGACGTCACGACCTTCTTACTCATATCGGAACTTAAAGAATTCAACCAAGAGTAGAAAATCTTTATATTTTTCCAAAAAAATATCTTATTTATATAAATAAACTTAGGAACACCTTATTTATTACCATGGACGTTTGTAAAAAATATTTTTCGAAAAAAAAAAGTTTTTCAGCTCTGAAGAACAATTTTGGTTTTGCGGGTTACTATGTCTTTGCTTTCCAGTGTCGATATGAATGATATATTTTTGTAAATTTTTTTTTATGCCGTCAAAATATAACGTATTACGTTAAGCTCTCATTATAAGTGACATTTATGTATTTTTGAGAATAAATTTTATAAACTGAACCAATTTATAGAATACTGTTTATGATTCAGTTTTGTTATAATGGTTCAGTTAATAGAAAACCGTCCCCACCACTGTATGGTGCACCCTCACATGGGCATATGGCCCGTTATATGCTAGTGGTGGGGACGGTTAAGAAACTGACGATACGTGTACGTGTGTCCAGCGATAACACAACGGACGGTGGCGTGAGTCCGTCTGGTGGCGATGTAGCGGGCGCCATAGCGACGCGTGCGCCGGCCGCGGTGGCGCGCCGCCCCGCCGCCGGTACAGAGCCGCCCTCCAAGGTCGCTCGTCTGCGGGAGGTCAGTATATACGTCATCATCAGACCATTATTTTGTCCTTTCGGCTCGAGCCTTCCTTATGGATGGCTAAGGAGCATGGGCCATAACCCTCCATGCTGGCCCGATGCGGGTTGGCGGGTATTAACGACTGCAAATGCAGCCGGGATTGATGGCTTAACGTGTCGGGACTGACTCCATGCTGGCCTGATGCGGGTTGGCGGGTGTTAACGACTGCAAATGCAGCCGGGACTGATGGCTTAAAAGACTGCGTGCTGATTTCCGAAGCACGGAGTAGATGGAGATAATATTTTTTGTTGGTCACCCATCCCGTGACCGAATCTTGCGAAAGTTGCTTAACGACAACGATCGTGTGCCGCGACGCTTATCCATAAGCCACTGAGATAATACAGCTTAAACGTAAAACAATCTAAACTGTAAAATATTCTTAACGAAAAATGCTTAAAAAATCCACTTTGCCCAGGCACTCCCGTCTCAGAGTGTGTTTGTCGAATTGATCAAAATTAATAATCCAAACTGATTTTGTTGGTTATTTATTTCAGTATGACTGAGGCCTTCCGCCGTTACCTTTTTGTTCGAACTTGGTGCTTGTTAAAACTTTTTTTAACTCAGCGAAAATGCGTTATCCGCTACACCTGTCGTCTGACACGGCAAGGGTATGTAGGGCTGTATTCGCCGGGACAGTCACCCCTTATTCCTTGTTAATACTAGACTGAATAAATATTGTATTGATTACATGTTTAGGGGAAAAACGGGACGCTATTATTAGAACCGTATTTACGTTTAAATTATTTTGGCGTTTTTCATAATTAATGGTACGGAACCCCTCGTGCATGAGTCCAACTCGCGCTTGGCTGGTTTTTTTACGTATAGTTATCACTCTAACCTGCCTAGTTTAATTTCACCAGTTCGCTTCTCTTTACGTATTCGTTCCTTTTCATATGTCATATTAATTAATGAAACAATACAAATTAGTATTTACAATCTATTTCCTATTCCGTAGGACACCAACAACAATCGCGGACACGAGTCTAGCGGCGGCAGCGGATCGGGGTCTCCACGCGCTTCCTCCCCCTCCCCGTCTCCCTCCCCTGGTCCCCCGCACTCCGTCATCATAAACGTAGTCACTAACATAAACAAAGTCGAGCAACGAAACACTCTTAATAATTAAAACCCATTGCCATATATTACCTTTTATATTTAGTTGTGCCACACTCCGATTAATATTTATTGTATATACAACTATTAACTGTTAATTCATAATAAAAAAAATCATTCATATCGACCTTCTTCCGAAAATAAAATTATGTTATAGTATAATATACAGAACGGATTTTTGAGTTGGATCAGTAAGGCTTTTTGTTCTATATATATACATCTTTATCCAAAATCCGTGAATGCAGTTCAGAATATCTTAAAAAGTGATGGTCTCGTACATTCTTATGTAATGTAACATTTAATTTCTTTGCTGTCCCATGTCAAAAATCTACAGTGTATATTTTAGTTGGTATGTCCAGAAAAATTTCTACAATATACTACTTAATGATTTTATCCATATCATAGAGGGGCGTGTCACATCGTAGTTAGCTAATAATTTTTATGTTTAAAACGATGCCCATTAATAATTGCTCAATTTTACTTAGACAATGTTAAGCATTAAAGAATTATTTAATGGGTTATCGGCATGTACTTGTAAATATTTTAGTGCTTTTATTGTTTTTGTTTTATAATATAATTATAATGATATTTGATGAGATTGAGTTCCTATAAGCGTTACGGTTGTAGGATGCGAGCAAATTTAACTCGCTTGTTTAACTACAGCTAAGCTACATAATCGATAAAAGACACGCTAAATATGCTAGTTTAGACAAAGAAATGTGGAAATTGAATGACAAAATGAAAAACATATATATATCGATAAATTGCAGAGCTTTAGTCAAGAGATCGCATATCGTGTAGCGTTTTAATGTACAAATGTACGCAGTCGCTGTTGGTTCGAACTGATTGATATAAAGAAAATTATGGTGCTAATACTTACTAGATATATAAATGTATTAGTGTGAAATCCATTATTCGTTAGCAGAATTACTTCATATGTGTTGCTATTTTTAATTTTAATAACGAGATTATTAAGTTAACGAAAATGCTGCACAAAATAGTAAAATCATTGAATTTAAAAAAGTTATACTTAGCTATTTTCATAATTTTATGTTTAAATTTAAGTAATAAGCTGAGTCTCAGTTTATCTCAATAAAGTTTAGTGATTTCTATTCAGATTAACTTATAGGTATTATATTTAAGTAGAGATTGCATTTAATAAAGCATTAATTCAAATCACCGTAGATTTACTTTACATTGCTCATTCATTACGCTAATAAATTTTAATTGGTGCAATTGTTCTATGTTATTTTTGTTATAGCAATCGGTGGCATAATATTATGATAAACAAATGAAGCTTATGCGAAATTCGATACGTAAAATATTAAGACTGTCGGTTGTTATATCGATTTGAACTCTTATGTTAAGTGAATATGGTTGATTCTATTGTATTGTTACATTTGTTCGCCGTGCGGCCATTAAGATTGGCTTGCGTTAGTAATGAATACAATATTTCTATTGTGAAAAAAGAGGGTTTTAAAAGTACACAATTGAAAAGACCACTTTTCGGACGGATTATAACAGCCGTGTACGAGTGTTGACTCGTTTAGACGTGCATTCGATTGTTTCATCTTCCACGCATTTTTTTTAAATACTCTGACAAGTTTAAAGGTTCGAAAAATATTGGATATTATGTGTTTGAAAAGTTACGAGTACCTATTGTATCACCTGTTGTGTAATTTTGAATGATTTACAAAGGAAATGTCTAATGTGATATCACTAGAGAACAATTGTAAATTAATATAAAGACACAGTTTATGCAGCCTTAGTATATCATCAATCATCACAATATTTTACTTTATTATTATATCGTACTTAAATATTAGACCAAATATTAATTATTTTATCATAGTTATGCTATGCTAACGCTCATTAAGTACCATTAGTTATTATTGTAGCTTATCGAAATAATATGGCTAATGAAGTGGAATCAAGTTGTTGGGTTTTAAATAAAGTGCTTATTATTTTAGTTTACTGGAAAACTATAATTGTTTTTATAATAAGGTTAGCTCTTTGACTTTTAAATCAGAGTTGACTATAACAAAACGCATAATGTAAATATCTCACGAGTTTAGATTTTTTAACAAGTAACTTTTTTACTTTTACCTATATCTTTTAACTAACAAAAGTAAATATGATAATCATACATCAAAAAACTTGACAAAGAGTATTCTTAATATGTTTTCATATATTAGTTGATATCTAGTACACTTGTACGGAACAATCTTATATTTTATTTGTTAATACATTCCTTTCTTATTCATCTGCTCATGAAGTTATTAAAAAAACATGGAGAGACTGTATTTTATTTTGGGATATAATCGAGAAACATTATTTTTGTTTAGAATAATCAACTGCTTTTATTTTATTTTTTAATCAATTTTACTTTATATCATTTTGAATAAAGTGTTGGGTAAATCAATGACATCTGTGTATTAAGAATGCATTGTAATATATTGCAAGAAATCATCGTGTTTGCAAAAGAATAATAATATTAAGTTTCGTTCAGTCTTTCAGTATTTTAGCATTTACATATTTTAATAATCCACACTTGTTCGATTGGAATAAAAACTGTTCTTAGAAAGTTAGAAAGAGTAACAAATAGACTGGTGTAAAAGACAAGGCCACCGTTTATCAGTGTCAATCAGCATGCCATATCCAAGATCAGTAGTAATATTTGACTTTTGCATTGTCGCTCAATCCTTATTGTAGGTAACTGTACTTTTGGGCGCCGCCTAAGTAAGTTGTATCAATTTGATTTTATTGTTAGTTACTTTTGTAACTGGCTGTCACGCGATGTCAGTAATGATCTGAATGAACTGATCTCGGTGTAGAATTAAAGTATATTTATGAACCCTATTACATGGACACTAGACGCAAATTTGTAAGTTATCATTTCGCTCGGAACAAGTAGTAATAAGTTTCTATATTTACTGTTTGAATAATTTTCCTAAATTAAAAGTCCCTCAAGTATCTTGATTCAATTTAGCAATATTAACTGTTTTTAAGATAATACGATGTTAGTTTAAACTGACGTAATATGTTGTGTTTATACATAGATATGTTACGCATTTTTTTTTGTAAAAATTGACCTTTATAAAAATGCATAACATACCTATGGTGGACACATCATGTTACATCGATTCTTAACAGTTCGTTAACTGCCCTGCGATTCAGTAAAATCCAAACCCGAATTCGAATTCACTCAGGTGTTCGAATACATTTCAAAAAGCGGCATCCGCTCAATCTTGAATTGGTAATAACGTTTCACGGCATAAGTGAAGTGAGTTTCGAAATGACATCCACCAATTTGTTTTGTATTTTTATACAAAATAAAACACATGAGTGAATTCGAATTGGGGTCTGAATTTTTACAGAATCGCAGGGCGGGTCTAGGAGAGCCTTAACTTCCAAAACGTCAAAAAATGTTTTATAACTTTGCATCTATTATTCCTGTAATAAAGGGCTCCTGTGAGATTGTGTGATTAATGATTTTGATTACGCTAATTAGTGATATTACCTAGTGCCTTATTAAGATAGTCGTAAACATAAAGGTTTTTTTGAAAAAGGTTAAGAGCGTGTATCCCAATTTATGCTGTTTTATTTACAGAAGACTAGTAAACTTAAATATACTTAGGAAATTTTGCCTTTAAAGTTGGAAGAAAACATTTTTTAATAAATTATACGCCTATAGTTTAATTTCCATGACATCTTTGGTTTACTATTTTATGTTATGAATAATTATTTTTGATAAACTCGACATAATTCGGCGACAGCGCTCTTACCCAAAGTATTTATCTGTTTCATTATTTTTGTGACAATGTAATATGTAATTATAATTTTAAGAAAATCCAGTGTTAGAAAATGTCTTCCAATATACCATATGTATGTATTGTTTTACTTTTGAGTGAAAATTTTATTGTACTGGAAATCAATTAACTATGACTATTATCGCGTATATCACAATTCGAATAGCATGTATGCAGTGTTTATATATTGAAAAAGGCCAATATAATAAGATGATTCAGTATCTGGAAAAAATAATACTACGGATGGACGGAAATTCTTGGCATGGAATTTATACTTGAAAAAATGTATAGGTACATGGTCAAAATCCTTTGTGCCTTGGTCAGCTTTGTGAAATAACCTACTTAAATTTGATATACATAATCTTAATATTTCTATTGTTTCAACACGTTAATGGTGGACGCTTATCTATCAGATCAGATTTTCTTCACACCTTGTAAGTGATAGGTGACATTAGAATTCTGGCGATTAGGCGAGTACATGTATATGTGATAGTTCATATGTTGCTAAACAAAGAATTCTTACGTTCGCCTCCTTCGGCGCGTGCCATTCTGATAGTTGCGTGAAAACCTCTATATATGTACTGTTATGACGTACAATTTATTTCACAATAACGTAACCACAATAATATGTTCCACAATCATATAAGTATGAGGGGCAGCTTTTTATGGTATATTTAATTTTTGCAATCAACCACAGTTGCTGAACAGAAAGAATTTTGTACAATGACATATCTTTTTCACACGTGCGCAAAAGTGAATCTAAAATGTGCACGATATCTATCAAAAGGCACAAAGGTCAACGTACGAATTTCTCTATTCGGCGCCGTGCCGATTGTTTTGATTTATTAGCTATAATAAAAAGTATTGCATGAGTTCTTATAATTTTTATTATATTAAAATTTGTCGGAGCGGTTCCTTTTCAGCCCAGTATCAGTACATTTACATTTTGTTATTATTTTTGCATTGTATCAATTATTATTTATTTTTACTTGAAGTGCCTCAAATGGGCTGTGACGCACTTTTTTTTTTATTTACTGTCGTTAAAAAGTTCCTCAGAAATATGCCATGAAAAAGTCATTTTGGTTCACAGTTGATAACTATACTAAGTTGTTTGATTAAATTGTATAGGTTTTGTTTTTATTGTACATCAGTTGTATTTTTTGGTTAGTTCGCGAGACGAGTAACAGATTTCTGACAATTTTGAACTGATATGACTTTTTAATTTAATATTAATCTAGTCCTAAGTCAATATGATTGATTGATTTGCAACAATTTTTAGAGGAACTTTCTTTATTATGAAAATAAAAGTGATATTTTAATTGTTTTGTTTCAATGAACTACGAAGTTACACCTACTCCTATAATGATGCAAACATAATTAAATATTCGGTTATTTTGAGTGAACGTGTTCTACAGTTTCTTACCTACATGCATTAGCTTTTGTGGCCTTTTGTATGATACCCGTAATGCTAATGCGCCTGGCCGCCATTTTGGTGACGTAATTGTGTTCAACAATCAATACCGTTAGTTAACAAATAAATACTCATTGACGACTTGACGAGTATAATATAGAGTTGCGTTGTGTTGAGATCACACATTTTTTTCGGTTTTTTTTTTTTGGTTCCGGTTGTTATTGTTAAGATTTGTTGTAACTTGTTATAGTTGACTAAAATAGCAACTGCTTTAATGATTTCCACAACAATTAACGCTGATTTCGTTAACAATAAATATACTTATCCAATGTCGCTCATCTCATAATTACTTATGGCGATGTTTTAAAAAAATCGTTTTCTCATCTTTTTAATTTTTTTTTGTTATATTAACATATAAATTAGCTTTTTTTAAAAAAAATTATTACAATAAGTTAACAAACCAAAAGTTATTAAATTATCATAACAATATTTTGTATTATTCATAAATATTTCTAACTATAATAAACAATAAAACCTTTGCATTATGTGCTATCTATACTTTCTATTTTCAAATGACGTCACGCGTGTGTTATTTAGACAAGGTTCCAGCGCATTAGCAATTTGCAGGACTTATATTTTAATACTTGTTAAGCCTAGCTTGATATATAGATGGAAGATTGGATTATTCATTTGCATTGAATAAGCCCGAAACATCATCAATATAAACATAATGTGTCAGGCTCGCAGCGTCACCCTTTTCGATATTGTATTAAATTCTTGATCCATCAGGTTCAAATTAAATAATAAAACATACTGAACTATTATTAGAAAATCCTAACAATAAACACAAAGTTGCAAGGCATACTCTTAAAATTACTTACAATTAAAGCGCGCATATGTAAAACGCCGTAGTGCCTTCGAGTGTAATTCAAAATATCAAAAACGACAAGATTCTTTCTGTGATATATAGTGATTGCGCGCCGGATCAGCGCCACATTATTTCTTAATAATCGCTCTATCCCAGACAGATAAATAGGGATCAAAAGTTGATCTGGAAATATTTTTGAAGTTCAACAGTACATAGTTTTTGCTATGGCGATGCCATATTGATGTCAGCTCAGCAGCGTTGTGGCGCTGCTGCTACTGTCGTATCTCTGAAACTGCTGTTGTTCCTATTTCGTAACGGATTGATCCAGAATTCATTTCGAAATCGAAGAAGGGAAAACTCTCACCCGTCATATGCGGGTAACACAGCCTATAATTTACGTGGGCGAAGATACGAGAAAACAGCTAGTTAAATATAAAATTATAGATAAATAAAGTGTTTGCAATTCTTCTCAGTTTTCCTTTATTTTTGTTGCGTGATAACCACGTGAACGTTACTTCGGCTTAAAGGCGAGATTTGGCCACGGTCACACGATGTGGCACCCGGACTGTTAGCTCTGTATACAGTGTTAAAGTCTTTAAAAACCTTTTTCGCAATCATCTCTGTCACTATCATCAGTTCAATGATATTATTATCTTTCATTTAATGGAGAATTAGATTAATTCCTAGGGTTTGTCTCAATGAAGACATTTTTAATATTTAATTTTCTCGATAGAAAACCAAGCATGCCCCTACATTTTTTTGATTGTTTCTAGTAAATGACGACGATACATTACTTTCACAAAGTCCCCATAATATTTTACCTAGGTACTTGTAGTACCTACCTAAGTACCTATACCGTGCTATGCAGGTAATTAATAAACAAGGTTTAACGTCAGAGTAATCTTACGCTAATATTGCAATTTTAGTATTAGTCTAAATTAATTTTACTCAGACAATAAATAAACCTACTTCCTTCTAGGAGTGAAAATTACTCTCGTAGAACCTCGTACTATGTTAACCTTTGAAAAGTCTCTGTTTAATAATATTAATTCTTACTAATACTAAGTGCAGTTTCGGCGTACATTTACTCCAACACTAAACCTTATTTATTAATAACACCGATAGTGTTTATGAAATAATAAAATGAAATACTGCAGAAGTTACCTATTCAAATATTTCGACTTGTGAATATGAATGAATACATTACGTTCTTAAAATAGCGGCGGTATTATTAGGCTACGTCCAGACGGGGGACATTTTGGCAAGCAGACTGCTGACTAGGTAGCCTATTAAAAACCATTACCAATGAATTACAAAGTCAAACATTTTACAAAAGACCGTATCTAAATCGCATCACTAAACTAAACTTTTTAAATTGTCTGCATAGAGTTTAATATGATTTGGTTTATTATTTAAAGTAAATACTTTAAGATTCGTAACCTTTTTTCAGATGCAACATTCATCTATTACAAATGAAATTGCAAAAAGAACTTTATAAGAAGCTTAAATAGGAAATTCTTTTAATTATGAATTTGAATAATACAATTTATCTTTTGTGACATCTATTAGTATGAAATTTACTTACTGCAACCGTACTGATTTGAGTGAATTATCAGTTATCCCCTTAAGTAAATAGGTATTATCTGTTTAAAGTTACCTTTAACAACCAAGATATGAACTCTTAACAGGTTTAGTAAGTTTCTAATTATTTGTTGTTTAGTTTTTTACGTTATATCCGCTAATCTACATCCGCTAATCGCATTCGTTAAAATTGAAAACGTTAAGAAAAAGATAGATATTTATTTTTTATTTTTACTTTAAATCAAGTCAAATTGAAATTATTAATAATCTTGCTTGATCGCTATTCTCATTCCATCCCTAATGACGATCTTAGCATAGTGCGTGACTTGTCTGAACACAGCCTTAAGATCAGCGGCGAGCGGCAACCGCGATGGTTTTTTGTTCTTTTCAAAAGGGTCTACGCTACGACAAGTCCAGACATGATCGGAGCATTGGGTCCAGTTGATTGGAGATCAGGTGCAAGTTTTCACTTGTTTTGTTATTGTAAGTTTGGATATCAATAGAAGCAGGAGTGTTGTGTTGTGTATTTATGATTAGTTAATTTTATTCGTACTGCTTGCTGTGTTGTGTTTATTTTCCTTATTATTTAATTTACTAATAACATTGTGATTGTGAGCCGCTAAGTACCTACACTTTCTATTTGGAAATATCTGAAGATGTTTTGGTAAGTCATTATAGAATGCATTGGTAGTGATATATTCATATTTTGTTATGTATGTTACCTGTCTACATAAAATTAGCGACATAATTTTTTGTATACGAAAAAATACTAAGTTTAAATTGGTTTTGTACAAAAAATTATGACCAAATAAGCTGTTAATTGAAAATAAGAAAAGTGCATCGTATATATAAAAGCAGTGGCTATAAAACACGAATTGTTAAAACTCAATACAAAAAAAAACTAAAAAGTTACGTATGAAATTCGTCGTTTTGTTATATTCTTTCTTTTTGTTACTATCAATTAATACTCTTATAATTCAAGGAAAATATTTGAGTCACTTTATAGCAGTCGGCAAGTTTTATTTTCACAATAATCATAATGGTTCAGATACGCTGATCAATGACCGGTGACTGCTGACTCTTTGCGCGCTAAGCTCGTTCGTCAATAAAACCGGCCAATAAAGTGAGGTACAGAATTTGCTCGCGCCGCCGTACGAGTATGTTATCGACCAGTGTACCTAAATCTCTTTTTATTTTCCCTTGGATTAAATATTTTTTTAATACGGTGCGTTAGTTTCGAATCTTATTTAATACAAACAACCAAATATTTCCTCTTATAATCCATACTTATATTATAAATGTGAAAGTAACTCTGTGTCTGTTACTTATTAATGATATTTGGTACACAGATAAGAGTGAATTTTGGGAAAGAATACTTAGGCTTTTAATACCAGACTAGAATAGCTTTTATCGCGAAATAGCCACGTATTACTATATAGATAAAAAAACAACATCTTTATATGATTCAGGACAGCGATAGTGATATTGACGTGTTTGATTGGTGTGAGATCGGAACCGACGTCATGTACCGAAGACTCGCAGTGCTCAAGCGGGTTCTACTGTGAAGCGAGCGCCCGCTTTTGCCGCGAGTGTCTTCGTTGCGAGGATTTCAAACGCGAATCGCCAATGCCAACAGACGTCTGCGTGAAGTCCGTCCTCGAGTGCGGCAAATGCTTAAAAGGGTAACAACTGACATTACCTAATAGAGTAGCAAAGAAGTAAAAAGCACATATATCGTGCGTATCACCTATTTTTCCCCACATAATTATGAATAGCCTATTAGTGTCCCCATTGCTAGAGCTTTCCCTATGGATAAAAGGAAAGGACAGTTTTAAGAACCACCGAGGATGTCTGTCTATTTGTCCGTCCATTTATAACTGAATTACCTACTTCGTACCGACTGACGTGAAATATTTGTAGTGTAAGTCAAGACGTTTATAGACACTAGATACGATATTTAAAATTCTATCCAAAGAAAGAAACACCGTAGGTATGTTGTGTTGTGTCGCGAAGGTAATATATATCCGTTTCCGCCTTAAATAAATTTTCAATATCGCGGTCTTTTTGGGGTAAATTCAAAAAAGATTTGCAATTTATATTACTTCGCATTTCGCATAATAAAGCAATATAAAATAGTTCTATAATTACAAATAGATTAGAAGAAAAACTAGTAAGATCACCCGACAACCGCCGATTGACTCTTGGTTTGGTTCTTTTTTATAACGTTTTAGTGAATATAATATTATAATAATATTTTCTGATTTTGAATATTTTATAACAGGGTTTATATACTTATTAATAATGTTATCTGTTATTATTTAAATTATATATCCAAATTTTGGTTAAGTATATCTTTCTGTTTTCAGTTTAGTACACGTGTACCCTGAAGGACTATGTATGCCTCATGACGCGGAGAATACAACGGAACTACTGCCTTTATATGCTTGGGTTGCCATCGCTGCTGGTTTAGTACTAATGGTTGTTATTCTTTGCTTGTTTTCGAAGATGAAGAAATTCAAAATAGCTTACGGTAAGTATCTATCATCTACGATGTTTTATACGTATTGTATTCAAAAAGAATTTCAACTAGCAAAGTGATATAATATATCTTAATAATAAAATCTAATCCAATATAAAAAAGGAAATATTATGTTTTACTAACATAATTTTTCCATCAAATATTATGTTAGTAAAACGATGGAACGTTAGGTCTTTAGTTATATAAATAAGTGTATTTTAAGGAACATATTAATGTACGACTGTTGTTGCCATAAATTTTGTATACGGATAATTCGAAGCTTGGATTAACACATAGGCTATTTTTTATCCCGCTAAAAAGTACCTAGTTATGTTTTAATAAATTACACTAACACCATCTCTTGACTCTTGGCTTTAAATTCCCATAAGTTTCGTTTTTTGGATTTGGTTTATTGCTATGAACTAGCTTATGTGAAAAGTGTTTTCAAGTTTTCACCTAGTGGACAGTCGGGCAGGACGGTTATACTTAAGTTTGCTTTAAAAAAAAAAATTAAATCTGGTAATCAGATTTTATATCAAACACTACATAGGTTTATATTCTTTAAAAAAGAAAAAAAAATCAATCAACTGAACTTTCGTCTTCTAATAGGTAATAATCATTTTTAAAAAAAAAAACCACATTATTCCTTATGCCTGTCTAAAGCGGACAAAATGATTCCAGTCTTCTATATGTGGGTGAGAATATTCTTCGTTACATAATGTACTGAGGTCGGTTTTCTTTTTCTTTTGTTTTAGATGTGTAGCCCATGGGTTCTTCTCTTTTTTTATAGTCGATGGTCCAGGTTTATCCTCAAATGATTTTTGTTTCTTACGGCCTCTGATGAATTTTTTTGGTATTTTGTTTAGGATTCGGACAATTTTTTCCAGGATAGCTTGATGAGAGCTGCTCGTATTATACAGGTATATAGCTTTTTCTTGCAATTTTTCGTGTTCAGCGGCTGCGAAACAACTTGCTCAAAACTTCTTGAAATGATCTGTCCAAAACACTATTTGGTTCTTCTTGTAATGGTTTTGGCTAAACATCGTCTACTTTCTGTGTCAGTGTGTCTCCTTGTGGCCATTGCATCTCTCTAGAAGTCTGAAAATTTCAAGGTACAAAATATTCATCACCAATTAGGTGTTTTTTTGAAATTATAAACTCCACTAGCACGAAAACCACTGATAACATTACCTGGTGTCGCTTTTAAATATGCACCAGTAAATATTTTCGCAACATCAAATTGCAACTTCTATCTCAAATAATTTTTTCAACGGTCCTTAAATTGAGACATCCAGCGGTTGCAGTTTGTGGGAAGTGTGTGGCGCTATTGAAAGAAATGTCACATTATTCCTTGTCGTAAATTTCAAGGCAAAATAGTGTTTGTGGGATTTATGATTGTCCGGTAATAAATGAGTTTTCTTCTTTTTTGTGGGTCGAACGTAGTTAACGAACATTTAGAGCCGTTGTCAGTCGTTGATACTACATACCCTGGCGATGATCCATCAAGCAGCCGCGGATCGAAACTCTTCCTTTTAAAAACGTACGTTGATAATATTTTATGTGGCTTATTTGAATTGAAAAAAAAAAGTTAACTCTTTTGTGCCTCCTACATGGCACGTTCTAAGTTAGATTCCGACCAATTTGCAGGGTAATATTTTCTTTTGTAGTTGTACACCATCTAAAACAAAAGAAAACAGTTAAGTACGAACAGTTGATTCAAAATTATAAAACTAGTAAAATAAAAAAAAGCAATTACTTCAAAAGTCAGTTCAAACTAGAATTTTGATCACAAATTATGACGTTCTATCGTTATTAACAATTAATATATAGTATTAACACGGAAATGTCGAAATTGGTATTGAAATGATTATAATAGCAATTCAAAATAGGCTTCCCCTATGTGACAAATTTCAGGCAAATTAATCGTAGTTGCCTATCATCAGATAGGCAATTGAAAACGAGGTTGTGGGAATAAATATATATGCGGTCGGTAAAAGTAAAGTGTAGATAGAAAATGATAATTGTAAGTAATAATAAAATTTCTGTTTATGCAGCTGCCACAGATCAATCACTTCAAACAATACAGAGGGTAGAGGATGTTCTTCTCCGTCCACCGGCGTACCATGACATTGATAACAGGTCACCTGCTCCACCGCGTAACTATGCTGAAACTCCTATAATGCATAAACTTGATGGTAAGTTAACCTTATTGGTGCACGTTCAATACAAATAGGCATTGTCTTTATTGTCAGTCAATCAAGTAAGCATCGGCGCAGTAGCGGACTTGAAACAGAGATCTAAGTGGAAATAGCCAGATTAATCACACAAACGACTTTAGCTCAATTTGTTTTCACAATAATAAAAATATAGAGATCACAAACAAGGCAATGTTGACAAATTATAATTAGGTAGATCTTATTAAACATTTATCTTTAAACAAAAAATAACAAATAAATTTGAACTACTTATAGTATTAGAGCCGACAACTCAGGACAATTAAAAAAAAATACAATTCATATATTCTTTATTGATGTCTTTGAGTACGGCAGTTAGTCTATAACATCTCTCTATGTATATTTCATTCTAGAGTCGCCGCATTCGAATGTGACGTTGCCTTCGCCGGTGTTTCGGCGGTGCGAAAATTCAGACAGTCAATACGCTCGCATCTTCAATAATCCTGTGTACGTGCGTGAGCCCCAACATGAAATCAGGTAATATTTGAATCAGTGGTGGACTAATTAGGGCGAGTCTCAGCCATATAGCTGCAGCCATCCACGAAAATCACAATAATATAATATACAATATCAAATTTCTACCTCGGTTGAAAAAAGTTGAGGTTATTCTAAGTCATTTTCTAAAATCACTGGGTCTACACCCAAGAGCATTATATTGAAATACGTGTTAATGTTATTAAACCAGCACAAGATGCATTCGATCAACTAATAAAATCATTGTTTCTTAATATATAACAATGCAATTTTAATGAAATCAACAACAATAGAAAGGAAAAGCTCTTTAAAATTTCAAACATAAAATATAAGCTTGCGAGTGTTCTGTATGGTTCAAATATATCAAAATTACCGCTGTTGCACACATTGTGAGTTATATAAATAAATATTTGAACAACAATTTTTGATTTTTAATAATTGACTGATTGGTTAATTCCATTAGTAGTTAAACATAATTCCATTAGTAGTTGTAAAAGGGTTAGAAGTTAACAAAAATAAACAAAATATTGATTTTTGCTAATGAATTTTCATTCAAGGTAAATTAAAAATTTTCTGTTACATTAGATTTGCTACCTTACTTTTACACAATAATTTATTCCCATAGCCACCTTGAGGTTTTCAAAGCTCGATAATCGCTTTTAGTCAAAAAGCGATCGATGTCCAAAAACACTACCTTGCTAAATGTTGATACCTAAAAAAAATAAAATATGAAAAACATGCCAGTTATAGAAATATTTGTTGAACCCTGATTCCAAAAAATATGGCCAAGCAACGGTTCTAATGTCTGCCCTTTTTAGACAAAGTACGCCTAAAATGGTTTTTTTAATGTATTTGGAAAAACCATCTGTCAAGATGGCGACTTTTCGTTGTATGGTCTTACTGAAACCGACATTATTTCGAAATCTAACTTATTAAAAACGCTACTTCTGAGAGACGCGTAAAAATTTTAATAGAAAACTTATTATACTTCATCGAAAATATACATGCGCCAGCCATTACTTATTGTTAAGTAACACTTTACTTATAATTAATATTTTGGATTTATTAAAAATTAGGAATGGATGAAAAGTAACCATTATCAATATAATTATGTGCAGCAACATTTGCCAATTCAGAACACTTTGAATTTGATTTTTTACTGCCGTATTTGGTTCCATTAAGAGCTGATAGTCAGTTTCGCAGGAGCAAATAGTTCTACGTAGACTAACTATAGGGTCGTTACTGAAAAAAGTAGTGTTCACCAAGTCCATTATAGATATTGAATTAGAGCAAATACGCCTGTTAAATGGGCCCTTTTCCGTGGTTATAATTGCTTACTATTCCATTATAGTCCTGATAAAACTGTGGTTCCAGAACGATTACTAGACCACATTTTGCTGCTTGAGTGTTTTAATATCAAACTGTTTCATATTTAATTTTTTATTTGCAACAATTGACAAAAGTACTCTCAAAGAATTTGTGTTTACAATAGGAATATATGTTTCATCATAATCTATTTTATATTTCTGTTGAAATCCTCTTGCGACTAATCTTGCTTTGTATCTACCATCCGGTTTCGTATAAACATCTACATATGAGCAGCAGATGTTGTAGCAGTACTCTGCCTACGGCGCAAAGGTTACGCTGAAGATATAGATAAATAGATACGAGCAGCTCAATGACGCAATAGTTATCGTGTTCGGTTTGCAATCTGGAGATAAAGCAACTTTTGCTTCAGGCGGGTATAGGATCTTCAGCCTACCAATATCCCAACTGCTGAGGCTCAGCCCTTCCCTATCGAACTTACCTATCGATATATGGAATCGAATCAAGTTGTAAAGGAAGAGTGAGGCATGACCTACAGGGCGGATGAGTGGGTTTAAATGACTCCAGATACAGTCAGTACCAACGGCTTAAGTTGCTTTCCTGAGCTCGAGATAACAAAATGTTGGTCACTTCCTCATCGCAAACCAAACGCGCTAACTACTGCCCCATCGAGCTTGACGAGAGGTTATAGAATGGATGAGAAAAAAGTTATTATCTCGAGGTCCTCTGTGCTTAGGGAGGCACGTTGAACCGTTGGTTGTAGCTCCAGCCGTTGACACCTACCGATCCACTTTAGGTCCAGTTAGTAGTAGGTTAAACTTGATTCTTCCATCTTAAGAGATAGCAGGGTCCAAGTACTTACGACATCAATTGGCTAATGATCATAATGATACATATCATTATGAAAGCGATAGTATTATAAAAAAATAAACACATGGCCACACAAAATGACGCAGGTCGAGTTGTGAATCCTACAAGGCTGAGACCGCACTACGTTTAATTAAACGAACGCGGTTTAGATATGGCTGAAAAGCATATGTTGTGGCACGCGTTTCCAGTCAGCTAATTCGTGTATATGTAGATCACACTTGTAATATGTAGAAGACTGTGTTACACAGTGCCAAGTTTCAAGTAGTGCGGCCTCAGCCTTAAAGAAATCTATTTAAAATATCACAGGTCCAACTCACATTTCGCGATTCCTGTCAGCCACGACGACAACATAGTTGTTCCTTCTACTTCTGCCGGTACTGAGACACTGTGGGTATCGAGTAGTAATGCTGACAATAATACCAACTTACCGTGAGTATTAAGAATTATTTATTGTGAGATAATTATTTCATGGTTAAAGAAGTTAGTACTGCGACATGCTATCGTATAAAACCAATATAATACAGTACAGTACAGTACAGTTTATTGTCAATCAAAATCAAAAATTATTTATTATTACATATTGTATTACATATTACATATGTATTATTACATATTGTGTTACATATTGCTTTAAGTCTTAGATCTCTGACCCCGAAACTAGAGAATCTGTATTATCAGGGCCAGCGATTCCTCGGTAGGTTGTTTATAAGGGAATGTGATGACGCTGAAAAACTTAACATAGGCAAGGTAAAGTCTTAAGAACTTTAGTGTGTGTGTGTGTGTGTGTGTGTGTGTGTGTGTGTGTGTGTGTGTGTGTGTGTGTGTGTGTGTGTGTGTGTGTGTGTGTGTGTGTGTGTGTGTGTGTGTGTGTGTGTGTGTGTGTGTGTGTGTGTGTGTGTGTGTGTGTGTGTGCGTGTGTGTGTGTGTGTGTGTGTGTGTGTGCGTGTGTGTGTGTGTGTGTGTGCGTGCGTGCGTGTGTTTGTGTGTGTGTGTGTGTAAGTGTGGGTGTGTGTATGTGGGTGTGTGTGGTTAGGTGAGTGGTGTGTGCGTGGGTAAGCCTGTGATTTGTTTTTTTTTTTTTTTAGTATGCTAAAGTTGAGTGAGTACCAATGTGCGTATATATTATTTAGAGAATTAAATATTTAAATAGATTAATGGCATGAAATGTTTTTATTATTATAAATATTTAATATTCAACCACTTTTACCTTTCAATTCAAGAGATTTTCTGTTTCTGTATAGGTGAGTTTCAGAAGGTAGCTGGTAATTTTGTTTTTCGCTTCATACCTGTTCAGGCAGTAAATGGATGTGAACTTGTGCAATTTACTATATAATACCGTGGAGAGTGCGTCAAATTGACGTTTAGCGAAAGTAGTTTAACAAGGTATTGAACGGTATACTTGAGCAGAAGCGCGTCTACGCGAGAAGGTATTAAAATCTAAGAGGAGAACATTGTGTCTCCGCAAAATACAGCGCAAAATAAAGAGTTGCCGGACGGTTAAAACCTGACATTCAGAATATAACATGTTAGTAGGATGTCGGATATGTTTATGAGTCATTACTTTTAGGATAGCTCTTTGAGCTCTCTCCAACTTCAGCATAGCGGTAACACCTGCCCCACCCCATACTGGGATGCAGTGTGTAAGAATCGATTGACATAGTGACAAGTACACAGTTTTTACTACTTCGGGTTCAGCTAATTGTCTTAATGTTTTAAATATATATATTAATTTTCGCACTCTTGTTTTCAAGGCTTCTATTTGGGGGTGCCATTTTAAATTGCTATCAATATGAATACCGAGATATTTTACACTGTGTACAGTGCGAAGTGAAGGGCATCCGCAGTTAGGTGTCGAGAAGTTGCAGGTGTGAATTGCTATCTTAGAATCTTCAGGTGGGGCGGCGCCAGCCAATGTAATAGAGAAGGAAAGTTCCTGTGTTTTTTCTGAATTTAGTGTAAGTTGGTTATAGGAAAGCCAATTAGCGACTTGTTTTAATGAAGTCTCTGCGTATAGTTTGGCTTCTTTCCAGTCATTACCGTGCACCAAAAGTGCGGTGTCATCGGCATATACATATATATTGCAGTTTTGTAACTGGAGTTTACACAAGTCATTTATGTATATTTGAAACAAAATCGGACCCAGTATGCTGCCCTGTGGCACGCCAAAGTCAATTGCTTCTGAATGACTGATGTGTTCGTCTATAGTGTATTAATTACCTACCTATGTTATGTAACATATTTGATTGGAAAGGGTAAAAATAGGATCCCATTACTGAGACTACGATGTCTGTCTGTCTCTGTCCGTCTGTTACCAGGTTGTATCTCATGAATCATGATAACTAGGTAGTTAAAATCTCCAAAAAATGTTGCTGCTGTGACAAACTAAAAACAATAAAGTAAATATTTACATACAACAAACGTTCTTTTGGGTTTTTTTATAGATAACGGTAAGAACCCTTCGTGTGCGAGTCCGACTCTCACTCGGCCTGTTATTGGAATTCTCCGATAGTGTTCGTAATGTTTTGGAAACCATTCACATGCGTAGCGCGCCGAGTCAATGGCATCGGTCGATAAACAGATCTAATATGAAACAACACCACATACATATATTGCTCAGATTACAATCGAGTAGCTAAAATACTTGTATTATATAAATCTGAAACAACAAAGGTACATCCAGCTCCGAGGCAATATTAATAAGATCATATATCTAAGGTCCTTCCTCCAAGACAATCCGTTTTAGTGGGATTGCCATCCGCGTTTAGACTAGCGGGGGGGCCCGTGCGGATGAAGAGTCCCACATACCCCCTGCTTCTTGTCTAGCGGCTGGGACAGCGCATAAAGCATTTCCCTGCGTAAAAAAAGAGACCATCATTGATCTTAAGTAATTATTAATTCTTTATTATATTGTCAGATACATAAGTAAGTAAAGATTATTTTTTATTTACAGTACCGCCTCTCAAAACAGCATAAGTGATGCCAAAATGTCATCATCACTAGGAAAGACCAGAGTTGGTCAACAGGTAATTTTGTACTATTGATTTACGTTAATACAGGCTACTAGACGATAACCATACCGTAAACCGTTCGCAATATATGCATCAGCTTAATTTAAGAATTTCATTACATATTTTTAGCATTAGTACTTCATTATTGCAGTATGGTATTATTATATAGTGCATTATATTGCGTTTTTCATACTTTTCATCTGAAACATCAATACCGCAACTAGTTACGACTAGGGGTGCGAACGCTTAACTCTCTAACCATAAATCTAGCCGTAGGATACATCTTGGCAAATATTATGACGATATTTTGTTCCATTTTTCAACTTTGAGAAGTCTTTTGGTGTATAAACTTGAGATAAATGACTAAGTTGGAAACACTGCTGTCAAATCCACATTCATCATTCTTTATCATTCGTTCTTCGTTATAAAAACTTGTCAAAGAAGTAAAATAAAAAGCAATAGCGCTACAACATCGCTTAGATGTCGTATCCTATGGATAGTTTGGCGGTCGCTTTGCTGGTTTTTCTAGCAATAATAAAAAATAAAATATCTTTTTAGGTGCAAGATTCCAACAATAATTGCCCTGAGGAAGAAGATCCATTGTGTCGGCGAACTAACGGCAGTAGTACATGCTGCACGAGTGTGATGACTGGACCGTCATTCGTCATTAACGTGGTAGAGAATGTGAACAATGCGACATTGTCACATGTTGAATATCATACGTGAAATGAATATAGACATTATTTAGATATGCTCAGTGCATGCATGGACTTGTTTGAATAACCAAATAATTAGTACTTGTAGATGAATTCCAAGTGAAGATAAGAAAAGTATAAGCAAAGACTTCTATGTATACTACTACACAAGCTATTCGCTACAGGAAAATTGCGCGTCTAGTTGTGTGTCAAGTCAACATCGTTTAGTTTTAGTAGATTGTATTGCTGTCTCGCTTACTCTTTGTTAGTAAGCAAGACGGTAAGGTGCCCATGCGCGCTCGTACTGTGTCACAAACAGCTGTTCTGAACTAAAATTGTCACGATTTCTATTTATAAATTGTGAAGACAAGCTTGTCTAGAGTATACATAGAAATCTTTGTGTATAAGTTATGAAGTTGTTACTAATGTAGATGATATTTTCTTATCATCTTCTTGGCATGTATTTCAGTATTAAATAGATAGTAAATATTGATGGTTTCTTATATAGTTACTAGTAGTGTGGTGTGGCTCGTGATTATTTAATATAGAATGGAATTTTTCTGTAATAAAAAAGCTCTATCATTCTTAACGAAACTTTTTTCGTTTTGTTAAAGATTTTAAAAATAAATAAGTATGATAATGAGACTGCTCAAGTCAAAACGACATATGATCCTGTAGCCAATGAAAAGAGAAGTTATATTTTTAAATTCAAATATATGTCATTACAATTTCTAAACAGTAAGCAGATTTTCGATTTAATTTTTATAGGTAGGTCAATTGCCTAGAAGAGAGTTCGCTTGAAGACTTGAAGAATAATATAGTTTGAGTTGCAATATATTGGAATTAAAGTTTCTTTTCATAGCGGCTCTTTAGATAGGTACGTGTTAAGTTTACTATATTTATTAATTTTTAAGTTCTTTAGTTCTCAATGGGTCTGATATTGTTACCAATCTATTTTTGTGATTTCTACAATAAATATTTGTGGTACAATTTACCGTGGTTTAATTTGACTTAAAAAATAATTTGTAATTTTCTGTTTGACGAAATTAATACTTTGCTCAAAAAGATAATATACTAACTTTTCTTGACGAGTTCAGTTTCGACGTTGAAAAAAAGCAACAAGATTTTTTCACATCCTTTATTCATACTTTCTTAAGACAAATAAAACTTAAGGTGCTATTTTTATCATACATAACAAATAAAACTAATACGTATAGTAGTGATTATTGTAGAGGCGCAATAAACAATGCTATTGCATGCATTTCAGCAGTGTCTCTGTCGAAGGGTTTAGCTAGAGGCGCACGCGCAACAAATAGTTCCTCTTCTCGCGACTCGTTCATATACACCGGCACTTCTACGGTACCCTCTGGGTTCAGCGGGGTGGTTTGACTCTATAAATACATAAAATATGATAAATAATTGTATGATATTAAATATATAGACTGAAAGACACGGCTGCGTTTGCAGTCATAGATATTCGCCAATTCACACCAGGAAGAACATTGGCTAATGATGAATAATGAGGAAGTATTTAAAAACAAATAAAGAAAGCATTAAAAAAGCACCTCACTAGATGGCGACTCTAGCAAAAGTTGATTTTTGCAGGAAACGAATGGACCAAAGACAGTCGTTTCCGTTACTTTTAATCAACATATTAAAAAACTGAAATTTGCAAAGTTCGAAACTTAGATATCAATACAAACACGAAAAAGTACAAATAAAATATAATTTTTTTATTGAGTTTTTGAAAATTAATTTACTTTCATACTTGAAAGAAAACCGGTAGAGTTGTCATGGAGAAATCAAGAACGTACCGTAGCGACATCTAGTTTGATTTCGGGAACAAATTTTTTTTAAATACTTCCTCATTATTCAGCGTGGTGGTAGTGCGACAGATTATCATACATTATTTCGATATAAAACACCTCAGGCTTACGTATGTTAAAAAAAGAAATACCGAAAAATTAAATTTTCATATTAAATACATACGGTCAATCATTGAACCCGAAGTGTGTAAAATATAAAGTAATTAATATATCACCTGCGGTACATATCTCAATAAGAGCGGTGGAGCAGTGACCCGCGGTGGGCGGCCCATCCCCGCCGCCTCCACCCCGCGCCCTCCCCACCACCCGCCCGCTAATTGCAGCCCTGACACTACCACTCCGTCATCCCCGCACTCATCTATATTATAAATATTAATTAGAATACTAAACAGTATGTTAGTAGTATTGTGTTTTTTTTTTGTATCGATGGGCTCGTATGTATCGAGTGTAACTGAGCCATAAGAGCAGGTTGGTGAGCTCGAAGATTGATTTTATAATAAGTATTTAGACGAAGATTCTTATTTTGTTATGATTTTATATATCAGTAGTAAAATCATTTTAGCTTCGATTGTTTTTTATCAATACAATTACGAGTAAAATTTATGTCTATTTTCATGAAATTATTGTTTACTATGTTCCATTTAACGCCATTTTCTTTCTTTCACGTCATACAATTAAATATATGAGTGACACTATCAAAATTATTTTTAACGATGAATGTAAGGTATTTGGCATGAGTACCTGTATTAATTAGAATAAAAGATTATTGAAAATGAAATAAGCTGATTAGAACCATATTATGATAGTGAGTGCAACAGAGAGTGAGAGAGACAGATGCAGAGAAGGCAGTAAGCTCTGATTAAAATAAAAAGAGAAGATACGGCATAAGAGCTTTGTCCATGGACGCTACAAATTAGGTGCATGCACATAATTTCGTTTTTGCCACTATTAGTACGGTCGATCACTCCATGAAGGACACTCACACTTAAAAGAAAAGCATGCGAGTAATTCAATGGCAAAAAGGTCATAACAATGTAAAAACACTCGTCAACCAGTGTTTATTTGTTAACGTTACTGATTTTTTTATGCAATTACGTCACTAAAATGGCGACCAGGCGCATTAGTAATTTGCGGATTGAGTTGGGTTGTGTTAAGATCTCACATCATGTCATTGTGATTCTGTTGGTTTCGATTGTTATTGATGTTTACAATAAGTAAACATAATTTTACTAATAATTAATCTATCTAATGTCTCTCATTTGATTATTACTTTTGGTTGTTTAAAAAAAAATCCATTCAGTTTGTTATCGCGTTAGTACAAAATAAATGTTATTTTTTATTTATTTTCCATATACTTCAATACTTACATATAAATTGATTATTTTCCAAAAATACATGCAATAAAATAATAAACTAAAAATTATTAAATTATTTAAGCAATAATTTCTCCCGACTTTTCTGCTATCTATACTTTCTATTTTCATATGACGTCACGCGGATGTTATTTAGATAAGGCATTAGCAATTTACAGGACTTAAACCATTTTTTGGTCCATGCAACTATGAGTATGCCGTATCTTCCCTATTTATTTTAATCAAAGGCAGCAAGTAACCTTGTAAGGGTGACCACTTGGTGAGTAGAGTGAGATGGTGCACGCTGCAGTGTAGACGTTGTGCGGCGTTCGCACGCATCGCCCACACAACGCGACCGGGGAACAAGAATGCGCGCAAGTCTAACTCTGCAACAAAACTCTACGATTTATCACTTGTTACGCTTAACGTTCAAATTCGCTCGTTGAGTGAAAAAATAGTTCACAACGCGTTGTGGCAATCGCAGAGTGTTTTTTTTAATACTTTATAGGTTAACGCTTTACTACGATTCCACCTGATGGGAAGTGGTGATGAAGCCTTGGGTGGTATAGCGCATTAACCTAGTAACAGCCTATTCACTCTTGATTTGAACACATTCACATTAAAATTGGACGGTAATACAGACGCTGGCAGTTTATTCCAGCGAAATCCGTGTCGTGACTGACATGCTATTCGACCTCAACGCGTCGTGGCAATGAAGAAAAGCCACGACGCGTTCTGAGCATTAACTAGTTAACCTAGCTGTTTAATTTATTCATAAACTGCATTTGGTTAGTATTACATTGTATTTAAAGTTAATGTTCGCGTATAATTTCTGTACAAACATAATAGCGATTCGCTTCTAGCGTTGTTTGTCATATTCTAACGTTACTTAACCTAACCTAATTAAATATGGTTCAATACGCTTCATGGTTTTTCTTCATTGCCACAAGGCGTTGTGGTCGAATAGCATGACAGCCAAGACATGGTTTACGCTATATGGTTATTCTGTGAATGCCACAATGCGTCATGAGCGTTTCCATAATAGCCATAACACGAATTTCGTTATGTGGATATTTTACTATGACCACAACGCGCTATGAACTGCTTTTCGATCGATGAGCGATTTCAATCTTAGAGCGTATAATATTTAACGATCATTTGAGGCCTGAGGCAAAGCAGAGCGTCTAAAGCTCGAGTTGAATAAATCTACGTTTACCTTCGAGGTATAATATAAATAAAGATATACTTTAAACTACGTTGACGAGGGAAAAAATATAAGACACAAAACGCGTTTGTATAGTCAACAGCAAATCAGGTTATACAAAACTGTAAAATTTCGGTAAGAAAAATACTTATTACGAACATTAATACAGAATTTTTTAGTAGTACGTAGTTAATGTAAAACAGAGGATATCCATAAAAAAAAACGCGACAGGCCCTCGATTGGAAGTATTATCCAGGCCCCAGAGCGTAGTCACTCAGTCGACTACGGGCAATGCAATGCATGGCAATATTCAAATTTATTATTTTTTTTATTCTAAGACAGGCACAGGACTCAATTCATGTAATTATAATTTGGATTTTTTAATTTATTGTTTTTAAGTCCCTAATTAATGATTCGGTAGTTTTTTTGTCTAAATGCCAAAATATCCCTCGACGGACGCAACCTATCTAGTCAACTTAAATATATCAAAAATGTAGACTTTAGAATTCTAACCTTTGGGTATGTTGAGTGTTTGTGTGCGCATGCGCACTTCAGAAGCGAGAGCGCGGTGGCAGAACTCTCTCACATACACAGCGCTTTCTTCAGGACCAGTCCACCATGACTGCCATTCTTCTGGTGTCTGATAACACATTTATGATTGATTCTTTAAAATATTAAAGTTATAGAAATTTATTATAGTTAATTTATTTATTTTTCTTGAAAACGTAATTTATGGATTTGTTTGCTGGATAAACAGGTATTTTGTGTGTAATTTGACATTTAACGAGCACTACTCATCAAATAACATTTTAAAACGATTAAACTATTGCCCGAATGTCAGTTAATCCAGAAGTAATAGAAGAAACCTGTGCTTATGAAGTGTGTTAACAGGCAACCGACAGTGTGGCTGACAAAATTTTCCACGCTTTTTCGGAAAACGGGACATTTTTGCATTCTGGATTTATCTTCGGAGACACCGGGATAGAAAACCAAAAAACAAGACGGTCTCGTAACGACTAGTCACGTTAGGTATACCCCGTGCTGAAGCTTTTGAGGGCGTCAAAAACAAACAAGTTATTATATAACTGTTTTTTGATGTTATTATATAACATCAAAAAACTATCAGGTAATTAAAAATAAAGAGTGCAAATTTATTAAAGGACTTAATCGTACAATTCACAAAAAAAGTCAACCATTATTATGTAGGAATGTATGACTATTATTTTTAGAAATTTTACTCAAACTCCAGAGGGGTTTCAATATGCAGTTATTGTGCTGTTTGAAAAACAATTATATTTGGGGCAATACAAATCTAGATATATATTTTTTTTCTAGGACGCAAATGTTACCTGGAAGAAATCACTTTTTAATAATAAGGCCTCCAATTGTTCAATTGATTGTATCCATTTGTTTTTGTCCTGTATTGGTGTACAATAAAGCATATACAATCAATTTTTTCTGAGTTGTGGATGCGTATGACGTATGGGTATTACCTGGTGTAGAGGGGCGGGCGGGGTGGAGCGGGCGCGTAGTGCGAGCGCGCGATGCAGCAATCTACTCACGCGTGCTGCTACATTCACCTCGCAACAACACACGCTCTCCCACCATCCTCCCTCACGCTACACAGTAAGGTAATTTCGGTAGTGAAAAATTTGTTTTTTTTTCGACGAAAATTATTGATGATTGCACAGTACCTCAATATCTTTAATTACCTTTTCTACTTGATAATCTGCTTTGATGAGAGCACTTCCCGCCATTAGCTTTTTCCACAAGGCGAGTATCATTTTGAGAGGTGTCACATTATTTTTATTATCGTAATTCGACGACATGGTGGTTGTATCTAATTCTAAAATAAACAAAAAAAGGTTAAATATCTAACATGTACGTGTGTGTATGTATGTATTTATTATTAATTAATTATTTTTCACCTTTTAAACCGATAATGATGTCGTTGGCGGAATTTCTTTCCCAAGAAGTCCGACAGTTGTCCGGTAGACCCAAAAGTTGCGGTGGATCAATGTCTGGGAAGGCATCGAACGCTGACAAGTATGCCTACATATTTAAAAATATATATTATTTTTATTATAAACTCCAATATTTTTGTTAGGGAGTCGAAGGATTAATCAAATTGTGGAATAAAGTAGCTAGGTAGGATATATTATATTGTCAGGGCTTGTTCGTTATCCGTGCGTTCCTTATAGACATGAGTAATTATCTAGACATACATATTGTTTCGTATTCACAAGTAACTTAAGAAATACAATACACCCGTATACTAAAATATTACATCTGTTATCCTAACTAATTATAGAATTAAAAAAACAGTCTGACAGGATTAAAATTTAATTTTAGCATAAGAGAATTGTCACCATTATAAAATAAACAGTTCAATATTGGGCATTAAAATAATCCCAAATGTATGAATTATGATATTCGCTCGACTTTTTTGCAATTTCTTGACTATATTAACTGTCTTGTAGACAAGTATCGGTTTTCACTTTTTTAAGATTATTTAATTTTTATTGTTCGGTAAGGGGTAAAAAACGGGAGCCTATTACTAAGATTCTTTTGGTCCTTCGCCCGTTTAACAGGCTGTATTCATTAACAGTGATAGTAAGACAATAAAAAATATTCACAGAAGATGTATTTCTGTTGACGCTCAATCAAAAAAAAAATCCAAATCACGTAAATATTTAAGGGTACTCCCATTCAGAAAACGTTTGCTCGTTTCCGGGACGGAATCCTTGTGCGTGTCCGACTCGCACTTGGCTGGTTTTTTACGCCGTTAGTTCCTACACCGACGTAATTGCATGCGAATGCAACCACCAATAAAACATGCGAAAACTATGCGAATGCGAACAGGGTTGTCACTTTTTGAGAAACAAATTTTGTGTTAGTCATCAGAAATTGGGACGGGTGGCAACCCTAAAGGTGAAACATGTGCGTCTGTGTGACGACCTTTTTCGCAGTTGACTACGAAACCGTACTGACAAGGACGCAGCTATTTCATCGAGCTAATAATAGAGCGAGACAAAGCACATGCGAAACATTGCCAAGAGATTTCTTGTGTCGGTGTACTAACGGCGCTAACGTGCCGGGTAGTATAGCGGAGGTGTACACAGTACCTGCGTGCGGGTGGTGGTGGGTACGGGCAGATGCAGCGGCAGACCGAGCGGACGCCAGCAGTGCGCAAGCGCATGATCCCCGAGCGTGGCGCGGTGGAGGGCGGCCAGCGCGCGCCTGTCCCCCGCCCCCGCGCGCGCCCCATACACCGCCCCCACCAGCGCCCGGCCCCCGCCCCCGCCGCCCACCGCCTCCGCGCACGCCGACACCTCTCCCCACTCCCACGCGTACCACCTACTCCATCCTGCACACAAATGCACCCTTAAGACATTATCAGAGTACAGGTAATAATCGTATTTCAATAACATCTCAACTACTTACATTTTACCATTCTACCATTATGAGTGCGATGTCTTCCTCACACTTCAATGGTGACAGATATATAATAATATTGGAGTTCAGGTGCAATGGCAAAATTTGCTTCGGGAAGTGCTCTGTAGTTTTGATTACCTTACGAGTTTCGAAAATTTGCGACATAATCGACCGCATCTTTTGATTGCATTGGCTTATTTTAGTTTGATTATTTTCACAGTTACAAGGGACCGTAAACCTGATTATTTGATATATTTGTGCTTGATATTTCCACGCGTTCCTGAGAAAAAGACTCTTGACAGACGGATGGATAATAAAGTGATCCTATTCCACTCCAGGATTCCATTTTTACCCTAAAAGCAGTTTGACAGGACTAAAATTCAGTCTAACAGTATTGCCACCATAATTCCATTATCGTCCAAACGGCCGGAACGCGAGCCATACCTTATCTCGGCCCGTATCGGAAAGAAAAGCCCGAGACTAGTTACCGACTGGGTGAACAAAAATTTATTGTTTTTAGTCCAGATTAGAGTTTATTAAGCTGTCGGACCCGGCAGCGCTTGCAGTTGCTATAATTTTTTAAATTAAATTATTAGTATAAATTACATATTTTACATCAATCTGTTTACTCACGCCATGGAAACCACCAAGATTTGTGACACTTGCCAGAATTGATGATCGTTTAGATAAACTTAGATATTATATAGTTTCGTGAGCTTATATATGCTACAACATGTAACTTCACGTTCTATCTGTATAATTTGATGCACAGAGAAGTTCTACGCCCCAAAAGTGTAGGTTATTTACGAGCTATAATAATGTGAAAATATCTGGAGGTTCATTATTTTAGTCTGTGGATGATCTCGATGATTCGATAAAACGAAATAAATGGAAAAGCAACCTTGCGGTATATATGCGCGACGTTCTTGCACGATGGCGTGGAACAAAGCAAGACAGGCGCGTGCTCGTACCGTCGTACCGTCAGCCTCAAATTCACCCCATGCAGACAGTGTACTCATAACGTTGTATTTCACACCCTCTGGCGCCTAAAAAATAACTTCCGTATCTCAAACAAAAATACTCCGTTCATTTCTTTGTCTCAGTAATTTTATTTATTTGAATAGGATAAACCAGACATAAATTATGCTTAGGTTTGCAGTGAACACAATTATTAGGCTGCCAAGGCTTGCATAATTTTCAATTTATATTATATATATTATTTGTTCCGTCTTCGATATCCGGAATCCATGTTGAGTTTAACCTTCCGTTGTTCGTATTTCAGTCAAGCGACTTTCCTCTCTAACTCCGGTGGCGCCTACTACCGGCGTACCCACATCTGGTCAAATGATCTACTGTAACCTTATGGGTTGCTAAACTCAACATGGATTCCGGTTATCTCAGGAAAAATTATAAATAAGTTTTATTGATAGGTAAAACTATTAAAATATGTAATTTGATCTGAAACGGCTGGATCAATTGAGTTGAAATTTGGTGCACATTGTTAGTAGATGGACTAAAATGTTACTTCTAATTAGGAGCTCTTAGGGGTTATATTACAAATAAAATTGCTAATGATTGTAAGACCTAGGAATTCCGCTTGCGCAAACAAAGATTCGGCATATTAGTTGAATGTTACTGTTATAGAACTTTTACACTAAACTTACCTCAAGTATAACATTGACGCATACATTAGCTACAATTGGTGGTATTTTGCGATCCTCTGATACAATCCATAGACGGAATTCTTCGTTGAAATCATCAATCTGTTATAAATTAAAAATTGTTATAAGTTTATTATAAATCATTTGCGTGGTGTTTTTGCTAAATGTGGATATATCTGAGTTCTCAAGATTTAAATATATATCGTAAGCATTTATAAATAAAACCTTAAATAATAATTTTATTTGAACGAACGAAAACAAACAAGCTTTTAAGAATTTTTTCGTTCCCGAAGTCATATCCATATTATATAATCGTTTGAGGCTAAAACAGCTGCGATCGATAGTGTTTTTATATATATCTTTCGTTACAGTTACAACATACATACGTAAATACATCTACAGTATAATAAACCGGAATTAGAATTAAAGGATAAAAATATTGACTATTATATACCGGACGCTGGACGAAGTCGACAATGAAATTCCGTAGATCTTGCGTAAATGGCGACGCGCCCACCACCAGGGCTACCCAACCACCACTACGGTTTCCTTCCACAGCTCGCTCCCACGCCGGCCTCCCTTCTTCCACACCAACCTAAGATGTATGTACATCCTTGTTACAAGATGACACAGTCATTTTTTGCGTGTCATTACGCTTATTTAAAAAGGCTTTACGTACTATTTTTTATAAAAAATCTTAACCCCTACATAACACGATGCGCATTGGAGTACAAATGCAGCCGCGACTAACGGCTTAACGTGCCACCCGAAGCACGGAGAATCATAAGTCATGCATAGGGAAAAATAACATGCTTGGTGATTGTTATTTTTATCGTTGTAACATTGTTGATCGACTTTTCTAAACGGAAATCAGTAATGTATAAGTGGATTACGTTTTAACCACAAATGTTGTATTTAGCTATAAGCTCATGCCTATGTATGGTAATTCAATCACCGAGTTGTTGAGACGAGGGCTTGCAGTTTTTACTACCTTCGAAGACCGCTACCATCAGACTATCGGAATACAATAAATCAAATCAAATTACAGTTGGGTCATTATAATAGGTCACATTTGACATCTCTCAGTCTCAACTACAAAGTAACCTTGTTATGTAGTTACCATATTATTATATATTTTTTTTTCAAAGTTACGACAACGGTACAATTGCATATTTCTTTGTTATTAAAATATATTTATTGTCATCATATAAAACTAACGAAATTTTACGTTTTACTTTGACAAACTTTTATAAATGTAATAAATCCATTTCATACTAAACAAACTAAACGCCGCCCGCTTCAATGTTAAGCCTGTGGACGCGTTGCATTTTTAAATAGTAGTCGTGTCCGAAAAATAATTTATTCAGTCTTGGCTGTTACAAGCACTTGTGAATGTCAAAGCTGTATGCAATTGGTTCGGAAATGGCGACGCGCCTGAGCGCCGGCGGGAGACCTCGTACCGAAAAGAATCGGCAAGAAATCTGGCAAGGGCTGCAATTTTCTAAGAAGATGGTACGATTGATCTAACGGTTGTTATTTTCTGGGTTGTAATTCATTCAGGGGTTTTTGTGTGCGCTTCTACAATAAGGCTCCAAGTAAATACAACGATTATCTAATCAAATCAAATATCTATTTGCATGGAGCAGTTTAAATCTATTATAAAAAAAAAAAACTTATTATAATGTATCATATTATATAATAGATAAGAATTCTTGGACTTAAGATGGTCGCTATTGTTGCCATTCCTAAATTATTATGTTATCATTATAAGATCATAGTTTTATTCTCTATTTATAACGTATTCATCAGATAATTAAATGGTTTGTGAATGTCGTTGCTCCCATTAGAGCCGGTCAGTTTCTTGCTTTTTCTTCTTATTTAAAACAATTCTTTTGACAAGATTATTTTGACTTTAACTTTGTACAGTAGATGAGTGTACCAGTGTGAGTGACCGCGCGTGATTAGCCAGCACGTCTAGCGCGTGCGCAGCGAGCAATAGCGCTGGCCGTCGACCGCGCGGGCCGCTCCACCGCGCCGCCACCGCGACACCGCCGCCACCAGACATTACGCCCGCGCCTAGCACGTTACATAACATATTATTTATTTTTTATAGTAGTGTTTAATATACTATTTACCTTAATTATAATTAAAAAATATATATACTCGTTGTCACATGACCGCAAACAGTGCGTGACATTACGCCCCTCTTGCTCATATCAGAAATTCGAAAAATTCAACCTCATGGCTATATAGAACGATATAAGTTTTGGAGGGGCATGACATCATAGCGAATCCATGACAGACTTGAGCGAGATTTTAACTTACTATAGAAATTTCACGTATATCAATAAAACAAAAACAAAATAAGTTGTTTCGTGTTAGGACAAATAGATACTTAGGTGTCATATTAATTCGTCCGAGTTATAAGATAAAGACTTCAATCAATGCAGCCCCACCCGGCATGAAAGTAAACGCAACATGGAGATGGGAGTTCAGTTTAAGTTATTTTTAATGAATAAAACTATTGTCAGTATTTAGATAATCACTAGTTTTTGAAAGAGTGACTCTGAAGTGATTAATATAAAAAAAATAATAAACAATATCAAAAAGGGACACTCTTTATTTTTTTGAACACCTCAAAAATGAGGTCAAATTATGATATGTTGATGGTAGTGAAAAGTTGAATAAAATCTTGACTTGTTGAGAGTAACAATAACAAATAAGGACACTCTTTATTTTTTTTGAACATCTCAAAAATGAAGTCAAATTATGATATGTTGATTGTAGTGAAAAGTTGAATAGAAACTTGACTCGTTGAGAGTAACAATATCAAAAAGGGACACTCTTTATTTTTTTGAACACCTCAAAAATGAGGTCAAATTATGATATGTTGATGGTAGTGAAAAGTTGAATAAAATCTTGACTTGTTGAGAGTAACAATATCAAATAAGGACACTCTTTATTTTTTTTGAACATCTCAAAAATGAAGTCAAATTATGATATGTTGATTGTAGTGAAAAGTTAAATAGAAACTTGACTTGTCGAGAGTAACAATAACAAATAGGGACACTCTTTAGTTTTTTTTAAACATCTCAAAAATGAGGTCAAATTATGATATGTTGATTGTAGTGAAAAGTTGAATAGAAACTTGACTCGTTGAGAGTAACAATAACAAATAGGGACACTCTTTATTTTTTTTTGAACATCTCAAAAATGAGGTCAAATTATGATATGTTGATTGTAGTGAAAGGTTGAATAAAAACTTGACTTGTTGAGAGTAACAATAACAAATAGGGACACTCTTTATTTTTTTTTTGAACATCTCAAAAATGAGGTCAAATTATGATATGTTGATTGTAGTGAAAAGTTGAATAGAAACTTGACTTGTTGAGAGTAACAATAACAAATAGGGACACTCTTTATTTTTTTTTTGAACATCTCAAAAATCAGGTCAAATTATGATATGTTGATTGTAGTGAAAAGTTGAATAAAAACTTGACTTGTTGAGAGTAACAATAACAAATAGGGACACTCTTTATTTTTTTTTTGAACATCTCAAAAATGAGGTCAAATTATGATATGTTGATGGTAGTGAAAAGTTGAATAAAAACTTGACTCGTTGAGAGGAAATTTGGGTTGCCGCAAGTTAGTACAAATCCCCATACAAAAAAAGGCATTCCTTCTTTAAAGTCAGAAATTTACACAAAATATAAATAACATTTAATGCTTACAACTATGTAACCCACCTAAAACATAATCCACTAAGTTTGTGATAGCTCTATAAGTGGAATCCGGTCGTAACAGTGAAACCGCTACTGCGAGTTCACAAGGAGTTAAAGATAACGGAGCAAGAACATTCAAATCGCCTGAATCGAGGAACTCCTTCCACAAACTAGCATTTTGAAGTGATAATTTATTGAAAAAGTCTTCGTGTATAACCTGAGGAAGGACATACTTGATTAACCTCAGATATTGACAGGTTGAGGGATTCGTTACTACTCAAATTACAATTTCCCTTTCGTAAAAATTTAATTAACATGCATTGCACTGATTTCAAAAATTGCCTGATAGATGAGGAAGTAGATACGAAGTCAAACTTAGAAGCTTTGGTTCAGCAGAGTGATCGCCTTAAAGTCGGTGCAAAGCATCTATGGAAAGGTATTTCTGTCGAGTGCGTAAGGTCGAATAAATATCATATCATACAATCTTTTAGTTCATACGTTCCGCGATCGATGAGACTATACGTATATTCCATCAGGTATGCACCGACCCTAAACACTTGATTGCTATCATGACATCAAACACAGATAAACTATGTAGATAAACAGGAAAAAATGTAATCATTGCGTATTTTTTTTCTAATGGTTTAGTGTCTTTAATAGAATACGAATATATTTATTTACGAAGAAAAAGAAATGTTTTGAACTTTATTAAAAATAAAATTGTCAATTTATTATTTAAATCATTATTGATTAAAATTTTCATATTTATTATTAATAGAAACAAACTGATATATATAGAGGTATAGGTATATTGGTTAACGTGAATTCGATTTACCGTAACGAACAAAATAGTAAACGTTGCACTTTTATGACATTTTATACAATATACATACTTACATAATTATCTGCATTATTTATATAAAAAAATCAGTCTAATCCCATACAAATCGTCTAAGGAAAGCAACCAAAAAACTTGATACTGACCTTAATTTGAGCTACTTTTCTCACTAACTCATCTGAAATCCATTGATAAGTATTTTTGATTTCTTTCACAATTTTTTGATCTTCATTAATTATATACTTTCCCAGGAATATTTGCCAAAGCTGAAATAAATAATTCTTTTCGTTCTAAAATTATTTTCCAAATATGTCTTTTTTTTTTAAAGAGAGTCTTATTAATAAGTTTTGATATAACAACAGAAAATTTAAATTTTAGCGCCATATTATATTATTTGAGAGTAGCTCGGTGGAGTAGTGGATAAGCGCCGCGGCCCGCGATCATTGTCGTTAAGCCACTTTCGCAAGGGTCGGTCACGGGATGGGTGACCAATAAAATTATTATTATTTCGAGCTACTCCGTGCTTCGGAAGACACGTTAATCCGTTGGTCCCGGTTGCATTTGCAGTCGTTAATACCCTCCAATCCGCATTGGGCCAGCGTGGAGAGTCATGGCCCATCCTCCTTAACCATCCATAAAGAAGGCCTGAGCCCCTGCATTGGGGACGTAAAAGGGCTGATGATGATGATGATTATATTATTAACCCGCGACTTCGCCCGCATAAATTATACCCGCGTATTATGTAGCTTACAGGTAGTGAAACAATTTCTAAAACCGTCCAATAGTTTCGTTGAGCCTATTCAATGCTAACAATAAAACCTATCATATCAAAACATTTTTGTGCATTTCTTACCTCATCCGGCATGATGCCATCATAGACTTGTTTTAGTATATGCAATACCACTTTGTATTTGTCTTTTTTATGTAACGACAACAGAACTCTCTCAATAACTCTTCTAGTTATGTATCTGATTACTTCATCGTTATTAATATTATTAGAGTCCTGAAAATAAACGATATAATTATAACCGGCTAATGATTTTTAAAATGAGACATTAAAGTTTGAACTTACAGATCTACGTAATGCGTCGACATAAACGTCCAGTACGACGTCTATGGGTAAAGCTATCAAAGGCTGGTGTAAAGTCATACTCTTGACTGTGAGTGCTAAAAGCGCTGTACGCGTTGCGCTTGGTAAAAACGCTTCTGACGCTGCGTTAGTATCACGTTCAATCGCGTGTGCTGCTTCGAGCGCTTCAGTGATCGTAGCGCTAGTTTCCCTAGTCTTGTTCAGAGATGCTAGAAGATTTGTATCGTGGAGTATGTCATTGTTAGTTGACAATATTTTAAGCAGATTTTCCTGTCGATAAAGTTTTAATTGATATTATCGTATAAATTAGACCGTAAGGATAATACAATGTGTTGTCATTTACCTGCAGCTCGTACTGTTGTTTCTGCAAAGTGGCCTTTTTCAGTTTAATTTCTTTAGATTTTTCGTTTACTTCTGGCTTCAGCTGCTGTAGTGCGTAATGGACTAGTTGGTCTAAAATAGAATAAATAAATCAAGACTGCAATATTTTATACAAGTTTTGCTGAACTACATGGTCGAGTTGAGTTGCTTGTGCGCCAATTCAAAATTTCGCAATTCTGAAACCCGGATCGGTTTCGACTCTAGGTCAACTTAATGTAGAAAATGAAGTTTCTATATCGTTTCGACTCTGGGCTTTGCGGTACAGTAAGATCCAATAAATAATAATAATAATTCTAACAAGGACAGAATGTTTGATTAGAATTTAAAATGAGTCTTGTATTGATAATTGTAAGATGTAAAATCCTACGCATCAGATGCCCGTCACACTGACGCAGTAGTTGAGTAATTCTAATTGGCCCACATATGCCGCGCTTCCATTTTAGTCTTCTGTACAAGTATATACATCACGGAGTAATCAATTGTATCTTGCTTTTGTTTCAGATTTCTATTAAACAACGGCTTTAGCTGCTTAGAATGAGATCTGTGAGCTGTTTTTATAATATCAAATATTAAATTAATATAATAAATAAATTAATATAAATACTTATTACGATTTAACAAGAATAATCAAAAATCCAACACAACTCGTAGGTACTACAAGATGTCGAAATTTACAAATAACTAATAATACCGGTGAGGGCATCTCTCCTAGCAGCGCAGTATAATGGCGACAGTCGCGCTAAACAAGATGGCGGTATCGGTGGCATCGTTCTCGCCACTAACACTAGATGAACACTGGTATCCATTAAGCCCGCCCAACTTGAATGTATACCGTCCACATCCGTGATTACCAGCGTGCGGTTTAATCTAACAACAAAATAAGACTATTTACTATCTATACACAGGCCAGCTACTTTAGTTAATACAAAACTGACAAATTCCACTTATTTTTAAAACTTGAAATTCTGACGTGGTACTGGGTGTACACAACATCATCATCACCATGAGCCTATCAATGAGTGTAGTTTGTATAGCTTCAGTATGAGTTATAATTATGACGTATGTCAACGATAGTTTTAAAACGAACAAGACATTATTATATATTTAGGTCTGCGAAGCATATTAAATAGTATTTAAAAAAAAATGAAACCTATTCGTGAGTTCGAATCCCATCTCAGAGTACCAGGGAGAAGGTGGATTTTTTAAGCAGTTTTCATTAAGAATATTTTCCAGTATAGCATTGATTGCAAAATTGATCAAATACTTATAATAAATGAAAACTACTTTATTGATTTTATGTTTCAAATGCATATTTTTTATTCTATTATTGTGATTCTTCTTCCAACTATACTATTAAAACCGTATGTTTTAATAGTATAGTTGGCAGCCCTATGTAAGGTAAGGGTTGTATTTACTTTCTCTAACACGAAGGAGCTGACGATTTAATTGCAAATTTATATTTTCTAAACTAACCTCACGGCATACTGAACTGCAGTGAGCAGTTTTTCACTGTGTTGAGATACAAAATCACATTGTGTATCTGCCAGAGTGGCCTTCAACCATGCTGTGGTATCACCATCGGGATCTATTACCAGAGGTGTGAACCCACACTTTTCTGATTGTAAAGCCTGTAACGTTTAAGCAAATGTAAATTGAATCATTAATAGAAAAGTGCTATTCCCTGTGAAGGTAATTTTCACAAAATAAAAACTTACATTTACTGAGGCATAAATAATTGACATACAACAGGATACAAATACAGAACAATATTATGAAAACTTTTAATTAGGTTTAATTAATACTTGGAAAAAAAAAAACTTTTGAATAATACAAATGTTATCACATTAAGGGCGACTTTACCTGATAAATATTTACCTGGTCGATGAGAACTGCATTTTTGATAGCAGTAGTATCGGATGGAAGTCCCTCAGCATGCCATTTCAATTGTTTTTCAGTAGTCACAAGGAAATTTGGCACTGAGAACGATGTATCTTCAAACCCAATAAGTGCACTCCATTTTTTTAAATATTCTCTATAAAAATTTATTATCCATTAATCCATAATACTATTAAGAAAATCTTACATAAATCAAATGAATAATTATTTAAATAAAAATATAAGTGTACCTCGCTTGTGGTTCGGTGGCGTCTGTCAAATATACGATATAAGCAGCTGCCAATAAAGACCGGTGATTCAACTGCAATATTTCCTTTGAAATATTCTCCAGCTGCGGTGAAAGATATGAGATGATATAATTAGTAAGAAACGGAAGCAACTCCATTATTGCGTAATTACAATTTACCTCTTTTGTTGATATTTATATCATAATATTTCATTATTACTGTATTAAGCGGTCTACGGGTGATAGTGTACAGATGAGCTTTTTATAATATAGTCCCCAATGGCTCAATTTCATTAGTGGATACGGATCGCGCTTTGCATGCGGCAAATGAAAATAAGCCATAACACGCCTTGTGAACGAATGTCTTTTAATTTTTAAATTTTTTGAAGTTATTTTCAACCATGTCGAATAAAATTATTCAATCCATTATCTATCTAACTATTGAGAAAACCAAAAATCAAAAGTAACTAACACCCGACCCAACGCCAACTTTCATTTTAACCATATATCAAATAAAAATATTTGTAACCAATTAACTAAATACTGACAGAGTTCTTATGCAATAGAGTTAAAGTTCTTATTCGAACGCAAACTATTTAACATGATATTTTTAACACATCAAAAAATGTGAATTAATAAATTAACGCAATTCTCCATTAGAGTTCTTATGCAAAGGAGTTAAGGACTCATTTCGAAATAACCTATTTCATTGACTCAAACTTAGTTAAAGTATAAAGAAAGTTCATTGAATAATTTCCAACCAATAAAATTCAACTAATATAATTTTTTAAACCGTTAACATTTAACTGATAAATATTTTTAACCATCTCTAGTCAGGTGTTACGCTTCTGTGGTATAAGGCTAAGTCTATATGCTTATACGAATTATAAGAGTTCCTGCAGACTTTCTATCGGACGATAGTTTAATCGGCTTTTCATTCAGTATGTCTGCAGTTTGTGGGGACTGTAATATGGATGACGAGAGGGCAAAAACAAGAAATTCTAATACGTATTTTTTTTTACTTCAATGTAATAAGAAAAAGCTTAGATAACAGGCAATAAAGTTGAGGAGTAGAGGTTCGTTACTTCACAGTTTTGTTAAAAATGTACAAAAGCGTGACGTCATTTGACATTTTAACTCAATATATCACCGTAATTCAATAATTACGAAAAAAAAACGTGTTTATTGAAATTAGTTGTCATCCCTATTCGTAAGTATAATACGTACGTCCGCCTCCCAGACGTGGTACTCTTGTGCTAGGGTGTGTATGAGCTCGTTGGCGGCGGCGATGGTTTCCCTCGCGCGCTGCACCTTCAGTTCCAGCGCGGCCGCGTCCCGCGTGTGCTGCCCGAGTTGCTGCTGCAGCGACGCCACCCGCTGCTCCACGGACTCGAGGCCGCTCGACAGCGCGGTCAGCTGATCTTTAGCCGCTTGCAGATTGCTGCCGGGTGAACGACCGAGATGATTGTGTATATGAACTGATTTACATGCGTAGTGGATAATAGTAGTTTATGCAACTGTCATATAAGAAGGGGTATTAACACGAGAGTCTGTTTATCGATAATAGGTTCGAGTGTTTCAGTACCTAAGTTATATGCAGTTTCATATACTACTTTATCTTCACTCATACGATAAATTGAAATTAAACAAAGTAGGTAGGTTGCAAGGAAGCAATTTATGCCTGCGTCGTGCATATTTTTTTCACAGTATGAACTGCGCATGCGTGCCCCTTTTTTTCATATACAGCCTAAAACCATAGATTAGTTTAATGAATAAAAAAAGATAGCGGTACTACAATGAGTTTTATGATACAGTTGGTGGTACTAAAATGAGTTTAATTTTAATTTTATGTATTTGAGTTTATAAAGTGCGTATGTATAGAATCGTCTTTGAATTCGTAATTCGATTTTTTCGATGTGAGTGTAGATAAACAAGATAAACGTCTACCGTAGAAAGTTTTTTTTAAATTGCCAAATTTCCTATAGTTAAATATTAGACAATATCACTTACAAATTCAGACCTCAAATAAAGTAGCTTTAGCACTTGTATTAGGTAATTCGAAATTACGAATGAATGTTTCACAACATAAATAAATAAATAAAAAAAAAAACACTCAACCGGGAATCGTACCCGGGCCTTCAGAGTAAAACAAAGTAAAATGATGATTAACTATTGGAATTAGCTTTCAACAAAAACTTAAACGATTTTACAAATCCTAAACTATATAAGTATTTCTCTAAAAAAAAATGTTTATTTGTTTGACTTCTCTTCTGTTTCCATATTGAGGAAAACGATTTACGAATTAAAAAAGATGTCAATAAAACAAGAACAGTACCATTTAACGGTCTATTACGAAATAAAAAGATATGAATAAGTTAAGAAAAGCGCCATCTAGAAATTTGATTTATAACTTATAGGCATATGTTTACGAGTAATCTGACAGCTGTCGCCAGAGTAACGTTACACAACGGCGAGTCACGTGACACACATACAAAAAAATATCCACTTTCAATTTCAAGATATTAAGATAATCGATTCAAAATCAGATAACCATAGACTAGTTTTTGTGCAATTTCGTGACTCTGTTTTCACTACTGAAACTACCCTATCGATAACTATCGGTTAATATGTGTTTATTTAGTTTATAAGAGTAAGAGCAGTGCTTGAAATTAATTAATATTAATTAATATTTCAAGCACTGCTCTTACAGCTAGTTGCACAAACGACCATTAAAATTGACATTAGTTTAAAGCGCCATTACCCATACAAATTTGACATTTATTAGAACTTAAAGGCGTCTTTAAACCTTAATGGAAATTGATGTTTGTACAACTGAACGCTACACTCATAAACTTTTAAATGTCTAATCTCATTGCGTAATTTTCGTAAAAAGGTGTCAACAACCTTTTGTAGCATTATTTATTTTTGTGGTCTCAGTCTTATTAAAGAGTAATTGAAAAAGTTTACAAACTAGTATTTGAGGGTTGGAGATTCGGTAAATAAATTTGTTTATGCATCCCCAATGTCATAAAAAATAATAATAATAATATTGCATGTGATATTTAACTGTAATTGTTTGATACATTTCTTCTTGGGAGCTATAATGAAGTTGTGAGTAAATCAAAATAAATAAAATTAAAAAAAAAATATGTAACCCATAATGTTCACCTGTGCAGCTGCGCCTGCTGCGCTTGCAGCGGCTGCACGCGCGCTAGTGCTAGCGCGTACGCGAGGTTGGCGCGCACCCACGCGGCGAGCGGCGCGCACGCGGCACTCGCGCGCCGCGCGGTCGCCTGCTCGAACGACGAGCCGCGGCTGCGGAGCAAACGCTCCACGGACTCGACCGCCTCGCGGGTTATCTGACTCGCGTCCAGGCATCTGCGATCGCAATTATAGCAAAAAAGGATAACATCATGCCCTTTTTGGGGTCGCGTGCCCAAAGCTTATTACAAATCGTTCGTTTGTTGCCAGGATGTATCTTATGACCGTGAAGAGTTATACATTTGAAATTTTCATAGAAGATATGAACTAATACTAAACAGTCCAAATTAATATATAAGGGGGCTCTCGTACAAAAAAAAGTTGATGATGAATGATTTCATATATCTTTCCAGGTACTTTCAGTAGATTATCACATTGTTCAGTATTTTATTTATTATTTGTAATTATCACGTTCTATCAAAATGATATATATTATATAAACCACCTTATATCTTCTTTGACACCTCGTTTGGACAAAAAGTTTTTCATAGAATGCCACGAAGTATCCGCAATGCCCATCAAACGGAGTACACCCTCTAATACATCTCGTACGACATCTGGCGGCGCTCTTAGAGATCGTATCTGCAAAACAATAAAAGAGATGTCATAAATAAAACAAAGTCGTAAAATCACTTTAGTTAAAACATCTATAATTCAAGAACGGCTGTACCACCCCGCGATTCTGTAAAAATCCGAACCCGAATTCGAATTCCCTCAGGTGTCCGAATTCACTTCAAAAGCGGCATCCCCTCAACTTTGAATTGGTAATAACGTTTTGTGGCATAAGTGAAGTGAAATTCAAAATGACATAATGATAGAATATCTGAGACATGCATAATCAATCAATTTTGTTTTGTATATTTATACAAAAAATGGAATCAATAAAATTTATAGGCTAAATGACGTGAATCGGACACAAGTGACTTCCAATTCTGGTTCGGATTTTTACGGAATCGCATCCCTGATTCTTACATTTGATATGTCGGATTTCTCTCGAGCTTATGAAAGAGAGAAAAGATTCAAAGGCAAATACACACCTCGCTTAGGGATTCAGGTCGAATATCTCCAACTGCTGCACGGGCGGCCGCAATAACGGGCTCGACAGATGCTAATTCAGCTTCTATTTCTTTTTTTCTGAAAATAAGAAATTATGAAACGAATTCAATGGTCTTAATTAATTTGCTAAGCCAAAATCGTGTAGCCCACCTAATTTGCAACTTCTCGTTTTCGGCTTCGATATTAGTTTTAAGGGCGTGCATTTCTTCCCTTTGGTCGGTGTTAGCTCGCACTGTGGCAGAGATCTGTTCCAGTGCTCGATTTGCTGATTCTTGTTTTTCGTTTAGTGCCGCCTCCTGCTCTGCTGCTTCTGCTTGCAGTGTTGCCACTTCACTACGGGCGCGGCGAAGTGCTTCAACACCAGCCTAAGTTTATATATAAAATTTTCAATGGGAAACCTGAAGGCCTACTATATTTTCTAAACGCTAGTAAGACTTCAAAGAAACGCATTTTCGGTGCTGACACTGCTTCTTACGCACAGATAATAATTTACTGAAATTTCGTTCGTGGACAGGTTCGTGTAGCAGGCTATCTGAATTATGACGTACAATCAATAGTACATTTAATTATGCAAGTGCTGCTGTGACTTTTCCATATTCGATTTGGCGTTTCTTTTTCTATGTTCGTGTTCTACCCATACTCACCGACAGCATGTTTTGTCTCTGCGTTAGCGATTGTTTTTTCCTGTTCACAATATGAAAATATGTTTTGATGAAATAAATGTATCTACAAGGCGCACGCAGCCATTCTGCTTCGAGACTTTCGTATATTTGCACGAAGCCTTCAACCGGCACCGTTTGTAATTCTTCTTTAGACGTATCAGTAACATTCTCTTTGACTAATCTGAAATAAATAAAAATAACAATAAACACTATTCTATGTCTTTACTAGCTTTCTGCCAGAGACTTCGCACGCGTGGTCCTTTACTACACATTATACTTTCCTTTTGAATCACTTTATGTATTTAAAAAAACCGCATCAAAATCCGTTGCGTAGTTTTAAAGATCTAAGCATACATAGGGACAGACGGACGGAAAGCGACTTTGTTTTATACTATGTGTTAATGTATCACTATTAACTTATTTTATTAAATTTGATTAATTATAAATAGCATTGAGCTAAACTATGTAAAACGGTTAAAATTTTTTTATTAAAGGGTTCTATCTGTCCTTAGAAGTTGTCATAAGTTCCTATTTATAAGTGTTTTCATGTGTTATTATATTCTTTATTACTTTTTATCTATCAGTTAAGGTAATGTCTATCATTTAGTTTTGCCGTTAATAGAAAACTTATATTGCTTAAACGTTTTCTGCTTTAAAGTAACGTCGATATATCGGTTGGTGATAGGAAGATTTAAGAATAAATTTCAATATAACTAGTAACTATAAATTACTAATTAAGTGAAAAAAAAACAAACATATAGAAACATGAATGAATTTAAATAAATGAAAACATAAAAAGGCGTGTTATTTTTTGATTGTGTAAAAAGCTTTAGAAACCGGTGCACTAGTGGTACCTACCTGTGATCACAAAGGTGCTTAATGCGTCACACAAGTACATACAACGTTGGTACCTCTGTATGACCAGCGGCGGCATCTGGCGGAGTGTGTCCTGAGACCAACGCTCTATCCATATTAAATGTTCGGCGTTGCACAACAACGGATAGTTCGATATCAATTCCCACAGATCCTCCTGACCCTTATCCAGACATATCACGACACCTAAGTTGTGTTTTATATCTGAAATTATGTCAGGAAATCAATTACCTATGTAAATATGTTTATAAATTAGGAACTAAACTTACTGATCCGCAAGCAATCAATAAAGTCAAATAATTCAACCATAAATTCCTCATTATTCACACATTATATAAACGTTTATACTTGGATTTGTAAGTTTATATATACATAAATACTTATTGACATATTATGCCAATACTTTATTTTCTTCATTAAAGAAATGATTGAAATTTTTTGTTATTATGGATTCATCATTAATTTTGAAATATAATAAGTTCAGATCAGACATATAAAGAAAGTAAGTACGTGGAAATATAACGCTAAGACAGTGATCCCGCTCATCGCTAGTATTTATAAGATACTAACTGTGCAGAAAATGTGTTGAATGTTGTGACGGCATCATCTGAGAGGGTATAGCATGTATAGAATTTGCGCCCTGTACAGCTTCTATGGCCGACAGTTCCGCAGTAGTCACCGCTAACTCGCATATCACGAGCAACGTGCGAGCTCCTTCTCCAGATGACGTGAGTGCCTGATATGGATTTAGCAAAAGATTGAACAAATTTTACAAAAAAAAAATGGTAAAAACAAAAGTGACTTAAAATAAAATGTAACTCACATTCTTGACAGTGGAAGTAAACTGGTGCGGTTGTTTTACAGTAAACAAAACGGCGGGAAGAGCTGAAGCTGCCAAGACGGCTGCGGCCCGTCTCCCCACTCCGCCACCTCCCACGCACACGAGAGCCTTTCCCGCCCCACCACCTGCAACTCCTCCACACTACGGAAATAAATGGTTCTATTATGACATACTATTAAACAAGTAAGTTAGACCGGTAGAACAACAGGTTTTTAAAACTCCATATGTGTTTCCTGAGATACAGGAGATACTGGCATATATAAAGTAATTTATAAAATACCAGCAATTACGCAAATCTAGATAGCTAATATCATAAACAACATTTGATCTAAAATATTAATAATAACTCGATACTATAAACAAATATGAATTTTAAAGTTTTAATTGTACTGACATTTCATTTTTAGCGGAAATCTAACGGAAGATGCGACAAATGATCTGTTTACGGTGCGAGGTTCAATGTCATGTCATATATTCGTCAATTAATGTATGTTACTATATGCACGAAAGGTTAACATTCTAGGTATATAAATTAAATTAAAAAATATTTTTGTACTAAACCAAATTGCAATGAATTATCAAGTCTAAAACAAGCTTTGTTATTTGTGATGACAGCTACTTGGTCTTACAAGGATGTTGGTGTTTTATAACTTATTTTATATACCTATACTTTATTATAATAGGGAAAAATTTTAAATTTGGTCAAGACATGTAACTCACCGCTCTTGCCATAGCTGTATATAAGGTAGCCAACTCAGTACAAACTTCAATACCAGTATCACCAAACACATTTTCGTTTTCGGACACTGAAATAGTATCGGATGATTGTTAATTCGAGCAGAAAATAAAATCCCGCTTAATAGAATGTCCGTTGAATGAATGGGGGAAAAATCATTGGGCAGTGGTCTAATAAATTATTTATTTAAGCTCGATAACGTCTTATTTTTGTTAAAAAAAATTTATATGACCTGGATCATTAAAGAATATGTATTTGTATTAATCATAAGTATGAAACTTACAGCATTGGTTAATTAATTTCTGCGTCTTTAGAGACCATTCACTGTATTCTATGGCCTCCATATAAACACCGTCTCCCTTTAATTTTGGGGCAAAACAAATGTTATCACTTTTGTTTGCCTGTAAGTGTGTTACTGAAATAGTTCTGTACATTTCTTTCTCATCGTGAGACATCAGTCTGTCTTTGAAAATAGCATTAGCTTCAGTGTAAATAGCCTGAAAAAAATGTAATTCTATTAAAAAAGATTCCAAATAAAATTGGATTATTATTCTTTTTAATTAAGTGTTACCGTTATTAGTTCTGCGGTGTTCGAAGGCGTATACCATTTTATATTTTGACACCATCGCTTTAAATGATCGGCATTCCATTTATAATGTGTACGCGAATTAAAAGTTTCAATCACCTGTCGGAAAAATTAACTCATTCATGAATTATTCAAAGATTTAATAACTTTATTAACAACAACAATCTCCAACACGTCGTTTACCTCTTTGAACATAGACAGTATATTAGTAGCGATGTGGGACAGATCTTTCTCGGAGAAATTTTTGGACACGCTTTCTCTCAGGTGGTAGTTAGTTATTTCCAATAATTCATCGTCATCTGGTTCTCTGCAAATAGTATTAATAATGGATTGGTATTGGTGATATCTGCAATGGTGTGATAAATTAAAAAAACGATATACTGCATTTAATGTTTCTTTCGGATCACTGATTTACAAATGCGTATAAAATGTCAACTCAATTAAGTCTTTTTATTTGATAAACTGGTTTACTTTAATACGAGATGCGCAAGAGCAGCAGCGAGGCGCGGTGATGGCGGCGGCCTGGTGGCGGTGGCGAGCACACGCAGCGAGACCGCGCGGCACCACCCCACCCCGCCCTCCTCCCCACCACAACCTCCACCCCCGCCCCCGCCTCCGCACCACAGCCCCCCGTGCTGGATCAACTGCACAACACATACCCACACTCTAACGCTGTTAGTAAAGCGAAACATTTGCGAAATCTTGTCAGTTGTAGGGCGATGTTTCACTTGTGCTTTGTCTCACTCTATTATTAGCTCGATGAAATAGCTGCGTCTTTGTGAGTGCGGTTTCACAGTCAACACAGAAAAAGGTCGTTACACAGACGCACATGTTTCGCAATTAGGGTTGCCATTCGGTCCGGTTTCTAATGACTATTCGAATATCACGAATTTTATCTCTCAAAAGGTGACAACACTGTCATCATTCGCATATTTTCGCAGATAATGAAGATGTCGGTGTACTAACGGTATAATCCAAAGACCTTAATCACAAAATATTTTATATAACATGAAAGTCTTTGATGCTTAACCTGTGCAAGAATTATTTGCGGACTCGGGCAATAGGATAATTAGGTTGATGTCTCTCGCCATTCTTCGTTAGCTCATTTAGTAATTTATTAAATTTTTATCATCTATAAAAACTAAAAAAATCATATTTTTTTATCTTGACGAATTACACATTTCTTTATATACAGATTCGATGTGTTTGACTTATTTAGATGTTCTTAAGGACCACCAGATCGAATATTATATTCTTATTAGGGTTCAAGACAGTATCAGCTAGTTACACAGAATCTATTAAAATTGTCATTAGTTTAAAGCGACATTACCGATACAAATTTGACATTCATTAGAGCTTAAAGGCGTAGAGTTTAAATTTGACATTCGTTAGAGATTACCCTTAATTAACGTTTGTGCAACTGACCGTATGACTTTTTACTTTCAAATAAAGCTAATAGGTATGTGTTGTCAAAGTTACGTCTCTGTCTTTACATTATATAGTGTTACCTGTAATAAAAACTGGTGTATCGGTGAACAATGCCATGCATCTTGCGCGGCACGATGTAGTCCACGTATAACTAGAGCTACTTCGCCCCCACCACCCCCACCTCCACTGCCGCTTCCACCCACAGCTCGTATCACATTATTCTATTGATTATAAGTAACTTTTACAATGTCACTAGCTTTCTCCCAGCGGCTTAGTTATTTGGATATCGGTTCATATCATAACATGGATATAATTATGTATAATTAATTTTGTATAATAGCAATGGTTACTATGGTAACGTTTTAATTCCCTATACAAACTTCCACTCCTACTTTCATCCCTATATTTGCCGGTTTTCGGGATATAAAATAGCCTATTTTCACCACATATGATGTAGCTTCCCGTAGGTGAGAGTATTTTTAAAATCGATTCAGTAGTTTCGGAGCCTATTGGATGCAAACAAACATAATCGAATCTTTCCTCTTTATAATATAAGTAAAGATAATATAGATTAGTGTTGCGAAGATTCATGGACTTTTTGTTTACATTAGCCACAATAATTATAACCAATATGATCTAAAGCAGCATTTTTTATTATCGATACTATTTCTATATGAAGCCAGCGTTGTGTTTTCATTTTTAAAATAATAAGATAAAAATGTAATGCTTACTCTCTTCAATTCTTTTATAATGTCAGCCGGTTCCAGCAACGGTGTGCAGTCAATGTTTATAATTGCACAATTACTTTCTTTTAACAAGTGCTCGATCAACAAACTAAAAAATTAAAATACATGTTAGATTTTATGGTTATTGTAAAATTTCAAACAGACTTGCTAGTTATATTACAGTTGGTGACGTAAGCTAATACTGATTGTTAATCAACGACTGAGGACATATTGTTACAGTATCATTTATTGTTTTTCATTTAACATTTCAGTGTGAATTATCAGTGTAAGTTAATTTAAAAAATCACACGTCTTTTGTGGGTATAAAACAAAAATCAGGTCTGCCTTTTAGTTTATCAAAATTTCAGATAACTATAAAATTTCGTATTTCGTAGTAGTTTCTATACCGCGTGTTACAAAAAAACCCGTTACCCCGAAAATGGCATTGAGTATACATAAAACTGAGATAATGGACGCTGTCCTTTATATCGTAGCCATTGTATTTATTGAAAAAAACAATATCGAAGTTTAGCAAAATTTTCGATACCATTTATCGAAGCACACCGACATTATGATCAGCTGTTTCAGTTCATTGACTTCTAAATCAAAGACTATTATCTTGCCAGACTGGTTATATCTACTGGTATTTAGTGCCTACGTCACAGTACAGCGAAATAATTTATCTAGTTATGTGTACATACGCAAATATTCGAACATGCAAAATATTACACGAAAACATTATTTTAAAACTATTTCCAAAATTCGTTTTTATTCAGATTAGAGCTCCCTTTCCAATATACCTTGCCATATTACTATGCCCGTGCTACGCACATATCAGGCACGGAAACAAACAATAAACAGTACGCTATAGTCACTGCACTGGATTAAATACTTTCGCCTGAAATGCTCGTACAATATCTCTTTACGAACTGTAGACGGCCCATCCAAAATAATAATCTTTATAATTAATGCTACGACACGTCACTCAATAGTGTACTCATAAAATCAATTTCATCTAATCTAAACAAATAGAGAAGCAGAGGAAGAAGAAATATCGCGATCGCACGATTGCACGAACAATTTTTTTTCATAATTAGGTAGTTTCATTTTTATGAAAATAATTACAATATTATGAAAGTAGGCGACGTATATCACTGAGTGTCTTCCAGGTAACTTTGTCTATCTGTAGCTGCTTCATCTTTGAACCAGAATTTTTACACATCGTGTCTTTAACCCCCGGTTTCAATAACCAAAAAACTATCCGTTTTTGCTACCATCCGTAGCATTTCCTACCGATGGTAGCAAAAAAGTGTTTCAATAACATACCATTGGTAGGTAAAGCTACCGACGGTGTGCTACTAACGGATTGATCTGATACTGATAACCGTTCGTAGGCAAAATGTATGAAAATGGCGCAAACAGGTGTTTCAATATCTTTCGGTAGAGCTGTCAAACTTACTATCCGTAGCTTATCTGTCAAATTTGCCTACCGGCCATTTTCCGTCGGTTATCGTAAAAATATTTATAAATCATACGTTTTTCCTTGTTAACTAATAGAAAAATAACAGTATTTCATTAAAAAAAATAATATTGTAGAAGAGATTGATGTGTTTTGTGGTTCCAATTAGAAGAATTTAAGTTGTAATCATGACAATGTTTGTACCTTTAAGGGCTCTTAATTATTGGTCCAGATGCTTTCTTCAATATGTTTCCGTTGAAAAACTTAATGATTTAGCTCTATATAATTATGAAAAACCTTGTTCTGATGAAACTGAATTTGCCACCTACTTGTACCAAACTTATACACGTTACATTAGTTTATACCATTTATTTTTTATTAAACACTGATATTGATTTAATTCTGAATAAAACCCAATTTGGATATAACTTATTTATTTTACAAATAAAAAACAATTCATAAAAATCTACATAATTTTTACATTATTCCATTGCATTTTTCTACGTTTGTTATACGATTTGACACAATCATTCCACTTTTTCTAATAACCATTCATTTGTCATCCTATGTCAATGGATCACAATTGTTCACTGTCAAATTCATTAATGTTATCTTGCAAATTCAAATAAGTATACTACAAATAACTTTATACAATTAACAATTTATAATAAAGGTGAACTCTATATAAAATTCCCGCTAAGCTTCTACGGAACATAAATCAACTTTACTTTTTGGCATAATTAAAGGCAAAGGGATATAGCACATACAACCTAGTCTAGAGTGACAATATTCACATTGAGGTTCACTTGGACGTTTTAAGTGTTTTGGAGCAAAAATTGAAATATATTAGAAAATGGTGAGGTATGTTAAAGTAACACGTACGCGTTCTTGTACCTACTAAATTGACAAAACACTGCTCATAACCATGCACCGTACCATTTTAATGAACTGTGTTTATTTATATTCCGAAATTTAATTTGAGATAAAAAAAACTTATATAAACAAATGATGTTATTTTAGGGGTTGCAAACATTTTCCAAAAAGTTCTAATTATAATTTTATTTTTGCAAATAATAATATGGAAATAAGATGTCTTACTTTTTATCGACTTCAATGAAAGAGAAGGTTTCTCATTCAAGTGTAACTAATTTTGTATAACAATGTGGGGATAAAAATGTAAGATTTGTTGACATTAGCCTATAAGAATTTCATTACTTTTTCAATTTTAAGTACTTTAAATTGTAAATCAATATCGAATAAAATACTTGTACAGTAGGTGGCAAATTCAGTTACATCAGAACCAGGTTTTTCATAATTATATAGAGGTAAATCATTATGTTTTTCAAAAGGTAAATCATTATGTTATTGTAGAAAGCATCTGGACCAATAATTAATTGGTAGTAAGAGCCCTTTAAGGTACAAACATTGACATAATTACAACTTAAATTCTTCTAATCTGAACTACGAAACATATTAAATTCTTCTACAATATTATTTTTTTAATAAAAAACTGTTACTTTTGTTTTAACTAACAAGGGAAAACGTGTTATTTATATTTTTTATATTTTTACGATAAATCATACTAAATAAAAAAAAGTTTTAATTCAATGAGCCAAATGTTCCGAATCGCTGTTTCTTGCCTGCAGCATAAAATATTTCTATCCTATTTTTATCTAAAAAAAAAGAATTTTTTGTAAAAAAAAAAAATTACTAAAAACTTTTAAAGAGGTAAATTTAAGCTATTTGTAGTAATGGTAACTCTTTTGTTTACATCAGAATTCCATTTCAGACGATAATTTGTTTCACAATAACACCACTTTTAAGAACCTAACTATATAATAAATAAGTCATAATAATTCCAAAACAAATTTCAAATTTAGTTTCGGTACGTAATCAGTTCACCTCTTTCCTATTGATGTCTCTGTCTTCCTTCTTACGATTTCGATTTTGTCCAAGAAATTATTAAATGTAAAGACCAACATTTCAGTATAATCATAATATTACCTAAGACAAGGCTGTATGGAAAGAACCCTTTTCCTCGAATTTATGATTACAATTTAAAAAAATGAGCTACCGACAACCGTTCGTAGTTGGTAGGCGCCTACCGATGATTGTGAAACGCAAAAACGAATGGTTGTCGGTAGCTCAAAAAACGGTCGGTAGCTGCTACCGATGGTTGTCGGTATATTATTGAAACCGGGGGTTAATCATGATAACCTGGTACTCGTACCTACAATCTTCTGTAACGAAAGTAAACCTAATATGACGTCAGCGCAGATACAGTCGGGGAATAAATTGAAACATTGATCAATATTCGTGTACATATTTCAATTGTGTTTATGGTCAATTTATTTCTTTTCTGATATTTTTACAATAAAAAGATCAGACTTAAAATGGAATATGAACCTTAATCGGGAATATGATCATTCCCGATTATGGTTTCAACCACTTATTCTTACTACATGTAAATTGTTTCAAGTAAAATGGATTGCTACCTTAGAGTTAATGATATGCACTACACTTAGGTATCTTAAAAGCGTCTGACAAGAAAAAATTGTCGACAAAGAGCCGCTTTCTGAATTGAGAAAAGTACAAAATCTCAACTGAATATTCTCAATAACTGAAGTTTTTTTATATTTCACTAGTCAAAAGTCCTAGTTTTATCAAACTGCTAACAACTAATTATAAAAAAAAAACCGGCCACGTGAGAGTTGGACTCGCGCAGGAAGGGTTGTATCCGGTGCTAAGAAATAACTTCATTAGCTTAACTCTTAAAAATATTTTTTATTGTTTAGGTATTTAAATACGTAAGACAAATCAATACATAATCGGTAAAATCGAGCCTAAAACAAATTCACTTATTCCCCCGAGTGTACAATGACGTAAGATAGAGATAGAGAGGGAGGGAAAGAGAGAGAGAGAAAGAAACGAAACATTATCGTTCGTGTTTGTGTGATGTCGCGCGCGAGTGACTACTTGACGCTAGATACGGTAGTAATAAACATTTGGTACGGATTTTAATTTATTATCTATTTTATTACTGTGGGCTATTCAACTGAATTTTAGAATCAGAGTATAGGATTCACTATTTTAATGCTGTAAGAAATGAAAATGAATGAGACGTTTTATTATGTACTGTTTACCTATTTCCTTAAATAGAACTAAAACGACCGACACAGCTAACAAACAAATGGTCATTTATTTGAAAAATAGTTTAAAATAGAAAAGGTGTATAAAATGAATTAAAATTTTAAACAGGTATGTCGATTGTATGCAGATTACTACGGCCCACGAAATACATTAATTTATTTATTTAACGATGTCTTATGATAGTCGATGCTACTTCCTCTCTACAGACTGAGCCAAGCATACTCGTTTGCAGGTGCAGCGTGAAAGTATATCACATTTCTCACTTAAACTAGTCTTTACCAAACATTAACAACGTTTAAATTTGTAAATACTAAAAATACAACCATGTACTATCTTATCAACAACAATAAAAATTTACAAAATCTTTGTCAATTAACAATTCCTAATACGTAACGTTCATAATACGTAACGTATTATGTACTTACGTACGTATGTAAAAAAATTAGTTGCAACAATGTCCTGCGACGATTTTTTTAATGTACAATAAAATGTTGATCACCTCGGTACTAGGCAACTAGAAGTTTAGGCTCAAACTTTAACATTGCCGCCTGTCTAGGGTTGTCATCTATCCGTCTTTAGCGGGACATGTTTGACTTTTTAGATTGTGTGCAGCTAAATGTTAATGTCACATGTCCGGCGGTATAGTTTTCATAGGTTTTTGGTATACCTGTGCCGTAGCTATATCAAATAAACTATGAATACACACAAATTCGAAAAACGTCAAATACCCAAATACCCAAAAAGACGCAGTGTTGCACGGGCATTTGCGAAATTTGAATACAAATCGTTAGTTTGTTTGCATCGTATAGTCTCCGAAATTACTTTATAAAAAAAACCTTTTTCAAAATAGGTTGTGCAGTTTTGATGTTACGATCAAGCCTTATTTTATGAATTCACGTTTTGGCTGTGATAAAAGCGTTAAAATTATGATGTAGTTATCTTATCTTATCTTTAATTACCGCTTATTTGTATGTTACGTCTTACTACAAAATCAATTGAAAGTTAGTGGTTTTTGAATAACTAGGCAGTAACCCTCGCGAAGCCGTGAACTAATATTACTGTCTACTACGGTAATATTGTTTTACGGCTTCGCGAGAGATTTGACTTAGTTCGGCTTTAAGGACAAAATTTCCGATCTAATAAGAGAAGATGGCAACCCTATCTCGCTACTTCTCAGATTTAATTGCGGAACTATAGGTACCTTTCTGTGCGCCTTTGACATGCCGCACACTATGCAGCGGCTTATAATAAAGGACTCAAATTGGCGGCTTTCCCTTTTTATCACTTTTTCTTTATTCAGTTGTTCATACGTCGTCGATGTGATCACGTTTCGAAAATGTCCGTGTTCTCTAATTCCGAGTTCTATGAAAAGTGCTTTTATCAGTGTTACATGGGATGCAGTGTTGTATTGATATAAATTAAGGCTATTTTGAAAAGATGTAATTATACTGAAACGTCAGTGAACCAGAAGTTGGCCGCGATCTTTAGTTTTTTCTTGTGGAATAAAATTAAGTGCCTAATAAAGTGTAGGTGAGTGAACCTCACAAGTAATGCTTAAACAGTGAATAAGGAAGTGAAAAGGTAAAGTACAAATAGTAATTCGCAAATATTTATTTTTAAATACGCCAAAATCGTTTTTGAATTATGTCGCATATCATTTTTTTTTTATTATCGTAATATCAATCAGATTTGTCGGACCATTAAAGTATGAACTAAAAGTTAGACTCGTATATCAGTGTTTAAATAAATTTTACCTATCTATCATAAATAGGTACTACTTAAAATGGTGTTTGATCTGTAATTCAGAAACAGCTGAGTCGGAAACGATCCTATGAAATGATGTGCGCGTTGATAATAATATGTATTATAATTTTTTTTACTGAAATTAGACTACCGGCTGAACAGCGTCGGTTACCATACCATTTTGCCAATGATTTGATTCCTATTTAATTTCTTTTCATTTTATTTTCGATCGAAATAGGTTAAGTATTTACTGTGTAAACTGGCAAACGCAGACATGTTTTTAAGTATATTTTCTCTCTCATTCTTAGTGTGTATGTGTGGGTGTGTACTAGGAGAGTAGAAAAAAAAAATTAGAAAACATAGGAGATAGGTAGTGTGCCATTACTCCTGGTAAGGTCATTAACCTAAAATAGTGATGTGACATAGCACACTCGATGTATTTATTAATTATTAAAAATTAGCCTTTTTACTGAAAGTTAAAAGTTAATGCAAAGGTTTTGAAAATTTGGCAGAGTACTGTTTATATGATATACTTCAACACCCTTCAGCTATAACGGGTATTTTTGTAACACCCGGTATACATTTAGGACATAAACCAAGAAATGATTAATGCTAAAAGCATTTCTTCTTTTTTGAAAATTGAGATATTTTAACGGAATATAATTAAGTTCTCCATTGAAATATAGCTAAGGCGAGAAATATGGAATACATATAGCGAATAATATAATTAAATAAATAACTTTACCCTTTCCCGCTTGCATCTGGTCCTACGAGCAATAAGTGTGTTGCGGACACGTTGCAAGCGCGCAGGGCAGGCTCACATTCAGCCAGCCTGCTTGATAATAATAATCCGTCCGATACCCACAGACTAGCCTGCGACACAGGAGTCGGCGGAGGTCCTAATGAATCTGCAAACTATTTTCTTTCTCTTAATATGACTGCACACAACATCACGTTTTACTTACAAACACATTTCCTTGAACACTGTTCTGTCTTTTATTACAAAATGCTCGTAATTGTCGTTTAATTGTCGTAAATCAAAAAAGCTGTTTGCAGAACATACTGATCACCCATAGAAACTTAGAAACCCTACAAATATAAAAAAAAATCAATTTTGGTATTGCATATTTTGTGAGTTTGAGCCACAAATGATTAATTATATTTAATGATTAAGTATTATTATTATTATTATTTAACATGCGACTGCAAATGCTAGTAGTAGTTCTTGAATATTGAGACCAGTCGACGTTCCTGAGACACTGTACAAAAAAGTACAAATATTAACCGACTTTCCAGACATAGTAACATTTAAATCATATGTAGGATATTTACTTATTGAAACGAGTTTTCCTATCCTATTGTTAATTGGTTAGTTAAAGTTTGGGAAAAGCAATCAAAGAAAATGAAATAATGGCATCAGAATTTTATTACCAGTAAATCTTACAAACCTCTTCATGGAAGGTATCGATGGAATTTTCTTTCAACATTCCCATTATGCTCCTCTCGATCGCCAAATATACTATCTCTTCGGGTGTGTTAACTGTCAAACTCATACTGCTACTCTGGACTAAGTACTCAAATTGTGTAAGAATTTGTTTTACCTGCAACAAATATAAACGAACTTGCGTAATAATATCAACATTTTTATGGATCATCAAGCATTTTAAGCTTTATCCGAAAAGGAACATAAAACTTCTAAGAAATAGGTATCATTAAAATAATTGTAATAAAAAATGCTTACCATCGTTACATCATAACTGTTAAGCAAAACGTTTGATCGGTTTGTTTGGAACCAATGCAAACACTTCTTGATACTTTGTTGGAGTATAGGTACAGCTATTTTGGTCATGTCATTTTCCAGATCTAGCTTACGTAACCAATTATTCATTACTTCTTCGGCACAGCTGCTTTCGTCGCTGTAATAATGAGCTTTTTTAACTAATATTTATAATTAATTTATTAATATCATTGTAGCAATATCATTAACGTAATAAAATTAAATATCAACAAAAAACACATACTGCTTTGTCTCTAGTCTTATGCCCGGTAATTGGTATCGGTGGATTGACTTTTGGTACATGCATCATAAATACTCATAGAAAGAATAACATGGATAAGACATATTGATACCAAGAAGCTCTTTGTCTCAATAGTAGGAAAATAAACAAAAAAGTAGTAACCCCATCAATATGACGCCCATGCGGGAGACAGTGGCGGGCGAGGCATGTTCAAGACTATGAGTTTCGAACAGGAAGTTGACATTGTCTGCAAACTGTACGCGCCACCCGGACGGTAGTGTCAGCAAACGATTGTCATCCAGCACCGAGTTCAGAGCTTCCACCCATTCCGGATCGATGTCACCGTCGCACACCACCCATGACCATACATCTAGTGTTATACATACACCAACCACATCAGGATGCATAAAACTATCAAATATATTGATTACATCAAATATTATCAAATATTCTGATAGTTTAATGCATCTTGATCTGTACGGCTACAAAATTACCAAAAGTAGACAAAACTACAAAGGTAAAGGTAATTAAGAGTTTCTAATTATCCGATGCTTATAATGAAATCAAAGACGCAACACTAAGTAAAATATATGTCAAGGAGAAGATTTTATTTTTATTTTTTTTTTATTTTTTTTTGTTTTGTTTATCATGCAATCAGTCTTTCTGACTATGAGCAGATGTGTTTGGAGTTATTGTCAATGCAGAGATGATCCCCAGCAGGAGCATTCTCTATATTTATATCGACTTAGTGCTCAGTCATTGTTGTTAAGGTTCAATGTTCTGCGTCGCTTAAGGCGATTTAGTGCATCAGGTAAGGTCAGCTGGACTGCAAGCTGATTGGGATGGCGGCCTAGTCTTTGTTTGTATTTGCCTGCGAATGTCTGAATTTCCTTCTTCACTGTGGGCATCTCAAGGAATTCGTGAATTTCATTATTTCGAATGAACCACGGTGCATTACTGATTTGCCTCAAAATGTAGTTCTGGGCAGTTTGAATTTTATTTATGTTAGAATTGCATGTGGCTCCCCAAACTTGGATACCATGTGTCCAGACCGGTTTTATGACGGTTTTGTAAATGAGTAGCTTATTATCCAAGCTCAGTTTTGCGTTTCTGCCAAGTAGCCAGTATAAACCTTTGTACTTTAGATTAATTTCCTTGCGTTTCATTTCAATGTGTTTTCGCCATGTTAATCTGCGGTCCAAGTGTAGTCCAAGATATTTCACTGTATCGCTTTGAGGCAGCACCCTACCACCCAGGTTTACTGGAGGACAAGTTTCTCTTCTCAATGTGAATGTGACCTGCAACGATTTGTTAGCACTCACTTTGATTCTCCATTTGTCGAACCAGTCATTTATTTGGGAAATGCTTTGTTGAAGTTTTGCAGTAGCATCTGTTGGATCCTTACTAGAGGCTAATATGGCAGTATCGTCTGCGTAGGTTGCGTATGTGACTCCGTGTATGTGCGGCAAATCTGACGTGAATATCGTGTACAGGACCGGCCCAAGTACAGATCCTTGTGGCACTCCAGCTGTTATCTCATAGAAGCTTGATGTGCAGTCATCCTCTTTTACTTGAAATATTCTATTGGTGAGATAAGATTCCAGTATACTATAGAAGCTATGAGGTAAGAGTGAGGTATGAGGTCAAGGAGAAGATGGCATTAAATTTCACAATAGGGAATTTGCGTGTGATTAAAAAAAGGGTCAAATATATTTTACAATGAACATTATTGTTTTAGATTAAAGTCTATGTAAATATAAAAAAAAAATTCGTCTGGAAAATAATTATTAAAAAACGCAAAAAATGCAGTAAATTGAAAATACTCAAACGCAATGCAATTTGCCAGAGCGAATGTGGTGAAAATGTACATGTTTAAGGATGTCGAAGTTACAAAAGTTAACATCGATTAAATAACATCAATGTATTATGTTGCAAAATAAACAATAGATTAAAATTTAAATTATGTTTTTTAGGCTTTTATTTATATTTCACCGATGTAGTAAATAAAAAATCAATTAATTGTTAATTGATTTTAATAATTAAAAAATAATCATGTAATCAAAATATTGAATTAAAATGTCATATAACTCGTGTACTTTGACGTCACGACAAGCGCACTATATATGCCGACGTTTAAAGTATTCATAATTTATTTTTATTATAATACGAAAGTGTAAAATTAATTTAAAACACTGGGGTTACATTTAGGGGGCAAATAAGTTTTTTTTTTTGGATCGTCTGACATTTAAAATGAAAGGTCCGGTATATTGTATTTTTTAATAGTTTAAAGATAAATAATTTTGGCGCTACATAAAATAATCAAAAAATTTTATTAATTTTTTAATAAACATCATATTTACAAACCTTTGGGTTGGTTAGAAATTTCCAGGGCAATGGAGGAAATTACACCGTCAGTCCACTGCCTCGTGTCGTGATCTATATGACCCAGTAAACAGTTTCGGCTCATTGCTTTCGGGCATATAATGTATTCTACTATGCTCTTTCCTTGACTAATTAACGCCTAAAAATATTATAAATCAGTTATGCATTTTGAATTATAACACAACAAACGTGTCCTGAGATACATAATTTCAAATATAACATTCAATGTTATTTTGCCATATGAAAGGTAAAGAGGTGATAGGTATATTATACATGTATGGGTAATGAATCAGGCACAGTTATTACTGGAATATTATCAAATGAGTACAGGTAAAAAGAAAACTGCATACATTTTTAAGTAATTGCCGAATAGTCGTCTTTCCTGTTCCAGGTGGACCAACTGTGACCACACCCATCCTTTGTTGCATTTGCTCATAAAGTTCCGTACACTTTTGTATCTGAAATGTAATTTCATACTTTAATTATATTTACTGACACTTGATATATTTTAATTTAAAAATAGGTATCGTTTTCATACCTGAGATGGATTACTGACTAGCCCCATGGTTAAAAATGCTGTAGACAAAGCGTTATTTATGGGATCTACGTTATATTCCTCTTTTGGGACATCGGCAAAAACGAGAGATAATATATTTTCAAACCTGTAAAGGAAACTCGTATTTATCTCCAATTACATTAATATCTATAAAATTAAATTTCGAAAAACCGGAAATTAATAAGTTTATACAACATTAACGATTCCCTTTCCCTATAGATGGTTTAAAATTAAGACCCATGTTCTACAGCCGAATATATATATATAATACTATTTTTTATTATTGTTTATTTTATTCTTTGTTAAGTATACAAGTTGATATTTTCGGAATGTACTCATCGAAACCTTTAATTTGACACCCATATTGCTATTATTAAAATTTTAACCCTATAAATTAATATGTGTTAAGTTATTCAAAAATTATGGTTGAATAAAGAGACTCACGTATATTAACCCTAAACACAAAAGATTTTAATAAAGACCTAAATATCATAATAATTGCAGTATGCAGCTAAACAATAAAAACACTTGGTAAACATAAGCTCATAAACCAATAGCGAGAGATTTATTCATAAAACATAAATAACAAAAAAAAACTCGACACAATACATTGCTTTTTTGGGCAGTCGTGTAAAATGTCTACAAAAATTACGAATAAACAGTACCTCTCGGCATCGTCGTGCGTAAGCTTGGACATGTTGTTCAAAGTAAGTATTCGTCTAGCGAGCTGTCTCTGTTGCTGCAGTTCAGAGCGCGCGTGCACAGTCAGGGCTGCCCCACAACTGTTTACGGACGCCTTCAGAGCGCGCAGTCCCCAGTCATAATGCCGTTCACTACTTAGCAGCTGACTGCAATAGGGATGATGACGATAAAAAAAACCTATTTAGTCCGTCATTCAGATAATATCATTTAACTTCAATTAAACAAGAAATGGTTTAGATAACAGGCATTAAAATTGAGGAGCGGGGACTCGCTACGTCAGTTTTGTAGTAAGTGTACAAAAACGTGACGCCATGTAACATTTTAACACAATGTATCGCCGTAATTTACTAATTACGCATGAATTAAAAATACGTGTTTAATATTTATTTACGTTGTACCTACGGACAAACAAAAAAAAATAGTTGTCATCCCTATCGGATAGATTTTTAAATTACATTTAATTCTTCCATAAATACCGATAGTCACTAGTGCTCATAGTAATTGAGGGTTTAAGTGATATTAAAGATGTTGTAAGCAAGAAGCTAAAAATATAAATTGGTTTATATTATCTATTTAATTTAATAATCTATTCTATAATTGTGATTATTATTTTTTTGTTATTTTATTCATTACTGTATTCTCGAGCAATGAATGATCCTTACAAATATTTCGGGTTAAAACTGAAACTGAAAACCAGAAATTTTTGATAATATACAATGTGTATCTCAAAAACTGCTCCAACGATTTTCATTAAATTTAGAAAGTTGGGCGTTGGGCGTTTCGGAGACGATAAATCGATCTAGCTAGGTTGCATTTATCATTAAAAAATACCCAGCATGGCTCTGCCATCTAGGCCACTCTCTCGGACTGGTGTCATCTAGGACTGGTGAATTATTATTATTAGATATCATTAAGTTTAAAATTATGAACTATAAAAAAAATAAACCAGATTCAAATGCCTGTTACGTCTATTCGTGTCCAAATCTAAAGAAAGCTATTCACGAACCTGGCAAGCGTAAACACGTCATAGAGATCGGCCGCGAGCTCATTCGCATGAGTAATGGCGCGTGCGGCCAGTAGCCGGGACACTAGTTGTAAGCCGCAGGGCTGCGTCATGGCCACAGGGCGAAGCACCCGCTCTAGTGCCGCCGGTAACTCCCGTCGACCACCGTAACCCCGCCCTATAGGGTTCATTGTCGCAGCGACCCCGCACCAAGGTGATACTTTTATCTTAAATAAAAAAATAATATAAATTCACTCTTTTACTATAAAAAACAAAATTTAATCTAAAATATTTTAGTATGAAGTATGAATTAACGATTGAATCTAATAGGCATTGTTTCTGTAGAAAATAATTAATTGCAAAAATTTGCAGCGGAATGTTTATATGATATACTTCAACATTTTTTATAACACGCGGTATACCTTCTAAATTTTATTTGTATAATGACATAAAATGTAAAAAAAGTATACACATACTGATTGATTTTGATAACAAAATAAAGATAAAATTGACAAGTTGCATAAACAAAAAAAAAGTTTCTTTAAAAGACCTGTTTGCCGTTGAGGGTTGCCATACGTTCAGAGGACGATGGTCTCATTGCTGGCAACAATGCTTCCAGCTGGTGAGAGACTGCAGCTAAAGTGTCGGCCGAAAGTCTGTTGAATTCATCGAAACATCCCCAAGCGCCGCACAACGCAAGACCGCTCAATAATCTCCCCATACACTCCGCATCCATAGCCTTTGTACATACAATTAAAACATTTCTCATTTGTCTCTCGATAGTTTCAACGTAGAACAGATGCTTAGTATTTGTATAAGCTTGGTTTTTTTTTCAGGAAATATTTAATAATTACCTCGTCACAATTGAATACTAGTACTAAGCGTCCGACCAGTCCACCCAGAGCTTTCACAGATTCAGTTTTACCCGTTCCCGCAGGACCAAATGGATTTCCCACCAAACCAAGATGTAATGACTGCAAATAATTTTTCAATTATACTAAGTTGCCAATATAATATTACTTTAAAGGTGTTTGCCCCCTACATCTCATAATACCATGAACATAATAGGAACGTACCAAGTAAAAACATATATAATCATAAATCAGAATTAGGATGTTGAATTAGCGTCTTAATAAATTCAATTCAGAATGTAATACTTTTGTTAACTTATGTTGTAAATATTAAATGCTTCTCGGTGAATAAATACGTCATAGCATAAACACGTGTAGTTGCTTCTTACTATATTAATAAATAAAAACATTTTTTTATACAAACGAATGAAGTTATTTTCGATTTTTGCTATAAGTATAGACACAACGTTATTAAACACTGAACTTTCCATTATTAAGATTGTGAATTAGAAGAATTCATCGGTAATAGATATCGATAAGGCACTTGCACTACCTGTTTCACGCCATTTTATTGTGCAATGTGCATACGTAGAACTCTAACGGGGAAAGTCCCGAACGTTAAACTGTTTGGTTTAATGTTCAAAGCTTTAATATTGTGCAGTCTCGGGTAACTAAAGACAATATATTGTAAATCATGCTAATCTCGCATGTATAATTCCGCATTTGTAATGTCACAAATTTTATGCGGGACCCCCTATTTGCTGGATTGCGGATCTGCGGAATTGCATCTCCTAGAATATGTTTTTGGGAGCGTTATACTGTTTTAGGGGCGATGTATCTTTGATAGAAAATAAGTCGCGTCTCGTCGGTCGCGTAGCGTAAGAATTGACAAACTAAGTATGACATCCTACGTTTGACGGATATTCTATCAGATTTGCACCTATCCTTAATATTTCATATTAGAATCACTTGTGTAAAACAGTTTCAATTAATTTCTTTCTTCATTTTGGGTAGATGCGCTTTCAACAGTTTAGAAATGATGAGTTTCTAACATTAAAAATGATATCAAAAATAAGTAGAAATAGCAATACAATGCTTTAATATAAATTCCAAAAACTTACTTTAGACAATCTTTATTTATTTGAAACTTTGTAGAAAACATAAGTTACTACCAGCCACACCAAAGTTTTTGCGGGCTTGGTCGATTTGAACGTTAACCCAACTTGGAATCGAACCCTTAGAATTCGGTAAGCTAATGACTCAGCTACTGTCGACCGCCGTCTGACGACACACGTTTGCAAGTAGTCACCCATTTACTCGAATATGTAAATAAAATGCACCTACCTGTGTTAGTATTAGAAAACATTCGTCAGCTAATTCCGTTCGCACGAATTGTCCAGTGTTTACACCTAGATATTCGTATGAATAAGAAATAGTGGCTAAGCCCATTTTTGCTGTCACCTCTTTATTGCTTGTAAAATAGAATCTGAAATAGTTTTTTTTCCATTAAATTTTCGTGTTAATTATATGTCACTGTTCATATGAAAGAAAAAGATAGAGACTGATAGGCAGTCCACATTATTAAATAGAATTGATTTTTTGTTTCGTCTAAAGGTTCCTTTGTTTTATTAAATCATGTGCGAGAGGAAATTACAATTTTGTCTGAATAAGTCAATGACAAAACTGATGCATTTCAATTGTCACATTGTTTTTACTCTTAATAAAAAATGATGTACTACAAGAATTATCAACACAACACAATAATTTCCATTTTATATAGTTTAATAAATAGATATATATATATATATATATATATATATATATATATATAATATATATATATTACTATACACAGCTATTAGTAAATTCATATTATCAAGAATATAGAAAAATCTGAATTATTTTCAGATTTATGCTAGATTGCCTCCAAAATAATAGTTGGTTTACGTTATTATGTAAACTCAATTTTATAGTAACGTAAGTAGATAATGTAAATTAAATATATATTAAAAATAAATAAATTGGGGCTTACCTCAGCTGTTTTTGCCAATGCCAGTCACTCGTCGATACTACATTGTTATCTATCAGAGTTCTTATGACGCACAAATAATGAGCACATTGTAATATGAGCGCTTGTCTTTTATAACGTTCACTTTCGTCTTCTATTTCGGTCGAGCAGTAATACGAATTCTCATTTTCAATGTTCGCTTTTAACTTGTGAAGATCTTTTGTTATTATAGCCTTTTCGGTTTGCTCGGTGAATCGAATGTTTTGTGCTAAGCAAAGTATTTGTGTTGGCAGTGTAAAGGGATCTTGCTCTTGTAAAGATCTAGTTACGATGCATTTTAAGGTCATATTGTGAAGAGACGAGCGCATTTCACTTTCAAGATTTTTTAGCCACACCTGAAAATGTACGGTCATAAAGATAGGTACATTTATTTAATCTAGTATATACCTGTATATATTTTACATATTTAATAATATTCATGTCGTAATAACTAGTCATTGATAAGAAAGTATTCAGTTTCGTAGAATTTTAACAAATATTACAGAATGATGAGACAATTTTACACACATCATTTGATTTTCTTATCTTATATTGTATTCAACACAAATATATATAAATATGTTACCGATGTACACAACCTATCTCAATCACTATTATTTTATCCCATGATCGCTTGCTACCTATGTTAGATTGCCTGGAAGAATTCATTGGTATGCAGTAAGGTCGCCTATACAAATTAAAGTTTAAGGTAGTATTAGTAATTTTGTTCATGTTATGAGTTTTCATAAATAACTTTTACGTTATCTGAGTTCATGTAACTTTTAACTGAAACTTGATATATTTTTATATCATCTATATCAAAATTGCCTTCTACACAGTTATAGTCCTATATTACTGAAAGAATATTCCGAGTTAAAGAATCAGGAGAAACCTCAATATTTTTTACGATACGTGCTGGAGTACCTCAGGGCTCAGTCTTGGGACCGGTACTGTATTCCATTTATACGGCTGGCTTACCTGTAATGGAGGATATTACAACTGCTACGTTTGCTGATGACACTACCATTCTGGCAAGTCACAAAACCCAAATACACCAACACAACTACTGCAAAGAGGCTTAGAAGACATTACAGAATGGCTGCAGGAGTGGAGAATTAAAGCCAGTTCGTCAAAATCCGTTCATGTCACTTTCACAATGAACAAAGGCGACTGCCCTCCAGTGAAATTAGAAAATATTACTCTCCCACATCAAACCTGTATTCGATACCTGGTGATACATCTGGACAGGCGTCTTACTTGGAGAGAGCATATAAAGAAAAAGAGAGAAGAACTGAACATTCGCTATAAACATCGTAATGGCTAATGGGGCGCAACAGCAAATTGTCAGTGGATAACAAACTACTAATCTACAAAGTTATTCTTAGACCACAATGATCATACAACTCGGGTACTGCCAGCAAATCTAATATCCAATGCCTTCAAAGAGCCCAAAATATGATCCTCCGAACCATTAGTAATGTGCCATGGTATATAACTAATAACGAAATCCATGCATATCTGGAAATAACTACAGTGAAGGAAGAAACAGAGATAGCTACTCAAAGATACAGATTCAGACTGAAAACACACCCAAATAAACTAGCAAAACAGCTAATAACTCAGAGTTACAACAAGCGACTCAAAAGGAAGGATGTCCTATAGAGAGATATAAATAAGAAGGCGATGTTCTTACTGAAGAACACACTTCACAACCCACTAAACCTACTACAAATTTGTTTATACTGATTATCACTGATAGTAAATTAAAATTGGAAAAAAAATAACTACTTTTATAAAACTGAAAGTTATGTACGGTCGGCCAAGAAAGTGGTCTACCAGTTTTGACAACATTTCCCGTGTCTTTAAAGCATCGCTAAAGGCGAATCTTAGAATTGCATACAAACAATAAAAGAGATGCACAATGCTGACGTGTTGTCGTGGAGCACAAATGTTATTTTGACCTTTGCAGCCTATGCATTAGATAATAATTTGCAACAACAAATAGTCCTCACAATATTTTATAAATTTAAAATTTAAGTAGGTCACTTCAAAGTGGAAACTATTTTGTTACGAAAACTCTTTTACTGAAAAAGAATATATCACTTGACAATTCATGTCAAATATTTACTCGGCATTTTCCGTAGGTATTTTCCTAATTAATTTACACTACAATGCCTCGAAATTTATCCATTAACGAAAGAGCACACATAATCGCATTACACAATGATGGTTTGAATATTAGTGAGATTTCTAGTGAATTAAATGTGTCGGTAAGTATTATAATGTCTGACGTGAGTTTAATGTAAAATCTCAGACCAAGTCCGAGTGTAAAAAAAATATTTTATTTTTTCTGTTTATATTTTATTTTTGATTATAGAGACAAGCTGTCCGTCTTTGGATAAGACGAGAAAGCGAGGAGGGGAATTTGAACGCTCGGAGTCGTAGCGGTCGCAGACCTGAAATATCAGATACTCAGCGAGTCTTCATGAGACGGAGTTATGAGGAATCTGGCTTTATACCAACGCGTTATTTTGCCGACATATTTGACGTGACTCTCCAAACCATTAGAAACCATTTACATTACATGGGCTTACATCACAGGCGTTATGCAAAGAAAATTTATATGACTGACGCTCATAGAATGGCCAGATTAAATTTCGCCATAGAATATTTGGATTTTGATTGGAGTAACACTGTTTTCTGTGACGAGAAAACTTTTAAATCCAGTCAACACGGGCGTCTACACCTTTGGCGATTCAATAAAACGCGATACACGCAAAATCATGTCGTGCCAAATAGAGAATCGGGTCGTATCTCGGTAAATTTGTATGGATGGATGACTGCTGATGGTGTTGGAGACTTGACCTTTTTGCCACCACGAGCAACGGCATCAGATTATGTTGATGTTCTCCAAAATGCTATGTTGCCATCCATCCGGAACGTTTATCCAAAAAATGAAATGCGTCAATTTACAGGATAACTGTCCCTTACATAAAGCAAGGGTAACACGTGCTTGGTTTGATGCACATCCGGAAATAAACTTGATACCATGGCCTGCAAAATCGCCAGATCTCAACCCTATTGAAAATATGTGGGGTCTTATGGTTCAGAGATGGTGTAACCGTAATGAACGAACAGCAGAAGCACTACAAGGGCACTGCAATGAGGTTTGGGAGGAAACACGTGGGTCTGATATCTGCTCAAGACTGGTGGGCTCGATGAGGGAACGTCTCCAAGCTGTTATAGAGGCAGATGGCGGCTACACAAGATTTTAAGAATTATAATTTTATAAAAGAATTGTATATATTTCTTAACAACCAAAGAATTGGCATTTTCACTATCTCTTCTAGTTTTAGCCCTTGTCTCGCACTAAACTATGGGTCGGCGCAATATGTTTTTCGTCGCTATTCATTTCTGTTATCCTTTATCTCAGTATATTCAGACCTATAACACGCATAGCTTCTTACGCATAGCATTTCACTACCTACTGATTTTTTTTATTTGTATTAAAATATAATTAATCTACATTCTAATGTAGGATATTTGTAGACTATAAGACTTTATTTACGATATTCTAACTCTAAAGTATTTAAACATACAAACAGACAGACAGAAAAAAAAATATTTTTGGCTTCTATTAGTCTTATGAAGGCCGTCCATATATTTTTTTTTTCCAAAATATCTTACAAATGTAACCTTGTTACATTTTTATTATAGGTATAGATAATTACTGTCAAAGGTTACGTCAAAATGATGAAGATAGCAATAATGACGTGTACTTGACGTGTCAAAAAATTAATGCTACGGAAAATCAACCTTGTTGTTAGTTGACGTAACACGCGAAATTCAACCTTAGGGTGGTAGACCACTTTCTTGGCCGACTGTACATGGACAAGCCATACTGGTTTTTGCTGCACTAACTAAATACATTTTAACATATATTGTTTTGCTTATCAATATCTTTATCTAAAAAAAAACATTATTAGCAGATAGAAGAAAATTAAAAAATAAATAAAAAAAAGTTACAAAAAAATTACCTCTACGGGACAGTCAATATCAACAGGATGGTCCAGTTGTAGCGTGTCGTTTCCTTGGCTGCACAGTGCAGTGATGGACAAGCCTTCGGGGCCGAGTTTCACCGAAGAAATACCAGGGAATAGTTTCTTGAGGTGCGTTTGCATAACAGCCTCGCGGCCTTCCGCACCAGCTCGCGATTGACCCAAAAGTTCCAATAGATCGTCATCACTTAAGAAATACAATCTAGGAAAGATTAGTCGCTTCTCCTGCAATGTAATAAACTATTTATAAGTTATGCCCATAGAATGAAATAGTCGCGTTATTACTGGAATCAATATGCATCAACTTACAATTTTATCACATTTATTTTATCACATTTAAAGGTCAAGTGCAAGTTGGTTGGTATAAAATAGTTCAGGAATTGAATTAAATATGATATCAATAATTTCAACCCCTTAAAAGACCTTTAATTATGACTTTAATTACAAATACAAGTATGTATGGTGTTTGTAATTTACTTAAAGTTACACGTAGGTACCGAAACGTTGTGTTCTTGTCAAATTTCATAGTTATAGGTAAACGGGAAGTATCCTTTTATTCCAGTTTATATTCCTTTAAGAGTATAGAAATATACGTAAGTAGGGTAATATTGGGCATTCTGTCCCCCACTCATTCGTGTCGGCGTTTCGCCACCACTCACTCGTGGAATGACAGAATGCCCAATATTATAAATGGATTCACTATTAGAATTTATTAGAGAATTGATGCTATTCACGCTTTTTAATTCAAGTTTTATTGAATGGATAATCGACTAACCTGGTGACCATGGCAGCGAGATTGATCACATTTTTTCACTACACTGACTGAAACGTAAACATTCATTAGATTCCTTTAATATGCCTAACGCAATGAACATACATATTAAATATTTAGCGATAGGACTACGGTATACTTTTATAACTTTATGGATGAGCAGCGTGCCTCAGTTAACACCCGGAAATTATGGTAGTAAAATTATATACTCTATCCAGTTTGGCTCGTGGTCTCCCTGAATAAAAATTCAGTGCCGATTGCCTCGGAGTTGCCACTAGAGTATCATAATTTTAGTAGTAAAATCAAAATCAGAAATTATATACTCCATCCAGTTTGGCTCGTGGTCTCCCTGAATAAAAATTCAGTGCCGATTGCCTCGGAGTTGCCACTGGAGTATCATATTTGTTTTAGTTCTATGAAGTCTCGACCCGATTGGCTCATGGTCTCCCTGAATAAAAATTCAGTGCAGTTTGCTTCGGAGTTACCATCTTGACTTCTAGATTTTTTCTGTACCCGATTGGTTCGTGTCTCCTCACCCAATATA